CCACCACCATCACATACATCAATCATGATCATCACCTTCATCAACAAAACACGTATAATGTTGTGACCACCGCATATAATGTTTTAACCACTGCATATAATGTTCCGACAACTGCATATAATGTTGTCACGACTGCATATAATGTTGTCACGACTGCATATAATGTTGTAACCACTGCATATAATGTTGTGACCACCCCATATAATGTTTTAACCACTGCATATAATGTTCCGACAACTGCATATAATGTTATCACGACTGCATTTAATGTTGTCACGACTGCATATAATGTTGTGACCACTGCATATAATGTAACCACTGCATATAATGTTGTGACCACTGCATATAATGATAATCATCAACATAAGGCAGTCATGGCGTTCCATAAAATTGAATGTTTTTTCCATCCATATCAGTTAACAGGTGTGAAAAATTTGAGATCTATAGTAGAATTTCGTTTAATAAAAAGCCTCCGAATTATACTTTGAATTATTTTGTCCATCAGGACTTTTTATTGGACACGGGAAAACTGACGATGTTTTTAAAGTAACACCGCAGTTACATAATGATGACTTCAGAGAGCTTCTTTAGGACATGTATATATTTTCTGATATTATTAAAATCCATTTTTAACCGTTAAATCTTATAAAAAGTGAAGGCAGAAAGTTTGTGTACGGCTTGAGTAGCTAATTTGGACATTTTTTCTCTTCCATCTCTAAACTCTTCTGACGATCTTCCTTCTCTAACAGTAAAAAACGTCTAAAACCCCATTTTACGTTATAAGTATACAATACAGTTGTAAAATTATATAACATTCTACTTACCATTTTATCCGCACTGGGATTTCAAAGACGCGCACAAAATTGTAACAGCGGGACACCCTTAAAATGACGTTATAGGCATCTAAATGAGCAGAGTTTTTCATTACATAATGTACAAAGCACAAACTCATCTATGTTCTCGATTTCTTTGGTTTATTTCCTTTCAAATGATATGCAGAACATGGATATTTATTGTATAGGAAAAGAGCTTCAATTTGAATAACCCGCCATCTATCGTATATTTCCAAAGAGACACCAATACCGTGCGCAACGTCTTAATCACTTAATTAGTTATATTTCAAATAGAAAAAAAAGCGTTTCACCTTTTGAGAATACTAATGCAGGAGTTCCGCAAGGCTCTGTATTGGGTCCCCTACTATTCCTTATTCATGTATATGACATAGCTGGTAATTTGATAAGACTAACTCGATTGTGTGCTGATGAAACATCCCTTTCTTTTTAAAGTAATAGTCCTTACACAATAGAGGATGTCTTAAATAGCGATTTAGAACAAATCTTAGCATGGTCTTAAGATTGGCTTATTGATGTTAACCCTTACAAGACAAATGCTATGCTATGGTTGTACTCAACAGGATTCCGACAATTTAGAACATGTTTAGTTAGAAGCAGGAATATTAGTAACTGGGTTGCCCGTGTTTGCTTGTCGGGAAGTTATATATTTTAAGTGAAACAGGCTGAAATTTGCTAGTGGACAGAAGAAAGTCCAGAAAGCTCACTATGTTCTATTCTTTATTTAATGAGACTGCCTCTACGATTTAATGCCACTTTTTGGTCAAATGTCTAATTATAATTTGCGAAACAATTATGTGATACCCAGTTATAGATAGATTTAACCAGAAAATCCTTTTTTTTTCGATCTACTACTATTGAATGGAATAGCCTAAACCCCGACATACGTACGTCCAGAAATATGAATATATTTAAACGAAAGATGAAGTCTAAATTGATACAGACACCTAAGGTGGCGTAGCTAGGCATATTTTTTTAGTGTACGCCCGAACTTCGAAGAGGCGCCTAATGGCCGCAACATACCCCAGCGTGTCCGTGACAGAGCTAGTGTACACGGGTTCCAGAGGAGATCGAAGCCCCCCCCCCCCCCCCCCCCCCCCCCCGAAGCTCACGCGTTATCAAGAAAGATATACCGATATCATCTTTTAAAAAATCATCAATAGCAACATACTTCGGAGACGTATTTGTTTATTTCTTATCTTTACTGTATGCAAAGTAAAGTAAAAGAGACTACCATAGATTTGTTATTAATCCCAAATGCTTGGTGGGTATAAATGCAGTATTCAGGACTTACATTTTTGCATTAAACCACATTTCAAAAGAAATTGGAAAACTGAGCCGGAAGTATTTCTAAGACACTGATTTTTCCTGTTCTATGTAGTTTTCTTACTGGCAAAAATGGAAAAAGATTTTATAAATGCTGTCAGGCACCGACCATTGAAAAACAATCGATCTGTTTAAAAAAAGAAATGAAAATAACTGTTTGTTTTTTGTTTTTGGCAAATTAGTAAAATGACCGTTTGATTTAAAATCATTTGAAATTATTTTGAAATAGATTAATGATAATAATTTATTTACATGTGAAAAGCTAGACTTTGTGGCGTAGGGATGTAATTGAGTGGTTTTGTGTGCAATTATTTCCCATTATTTCGGCAGTGAATATCTGCAAGTATTTCATTATGTTGTTTGATTTACACATTATAACAAAACTAAGAATATGACGGATAAATTTATAATTAGCTGTTTAACGTCCAGTGGCAACTATTAGATGTATTATTAGGAGGACCTTTAAAATGTTATAAATATGAACAAGGACATCCTTTGCTATGCAAACATGTGTATCACGGCACAAGCGATGACCTTTAGACCCTGTGTAGCATATGTATATTTAGGGTTGCTCCGAATAAAGGGGATATAGATACAGGAAAATAAAGTAAAAAAAAAAATATAAAATAAGAATAGAGTATAACGGGCAAAATAAAAAATAGAGGAAAATGGTCTTAGAAAATTTAAGAATAGAGGGAAACGGTCTAATTTTTGTTGTTAGAAAATTCAAAAATGAAGACGCTCAATTATAATTTCACTTAAGAATTCGAAATTTTTCATTTGCCGGACGCGCTCTTTTTTGATTATTGTTTAAAATCAAGTGCATTTGTAGTAAAAATAATACACTATCGTTTGTACATTGGTAAGGATTTATGTTTGGTGTTGATGAGGCACATAACGGGTAATTGTTTTTATTTGAAATTTCTCAAATATTTGATTTTGTTCGACTGATTTGATAGATGAATAATAATATATCTATAATCTAAAAAAAAAGTATAATTACGATATGTAGATGAAACTGTTATTCAGTCGATGTTTAAATACATGCGATAAAAGAGAATATATAAATATGATTAACAAACTTTTTAAACAAAAGGCAAACCTTAAAACCCCGAATATACTTTGTAAGAACATTAGATAAATTCCGAATTCCATCTAAAATACATTGTTCATTTAGGTCAAAAGAATGTTAATACCTTAGGCTATTTTCAAAAAATGTTGACTGAAAACCCTGCAGACTCCAGTTTACTCGCACATTCACCAAGTACGTATTTCCACGGCTATCGTATCTTTTAATTTGTTTAAATCTATTTCAGTGTTTATTTTTCAAACTGTTTATGTAAATAATGTTGGATCAACATCGAGTCAGATTAAGTTATAATTTATTAAAGGATTAATTAAAAACTGAAATATGCATCCAATCTAAATGTTACGCCTATGATAACCTATATAAAAAGATTTAACAGAACACAATTCATGTTTTATATATTTTAAAAAACCATATACGCTAAACGAAACTATGTACGCCAAGAAACGATGTACGGTAAACGATACGATATACGCTAAACGAAACGATGTACGCTAAACGATACGATATACGCTAAACGAAACGATGTACGCTAACCGATACGATATACGAGATTGACGCTATACCATACGATGAACGATAAAAGGGAGCTTATGTTATCGTTTATGGTATGGTTTATGGTACATGGTTTCGTTCGTACATCATTCGTTCAGCGTTCGTACAACGTTCGGTTAGCGTTTCGTTTGCATTCGTACACCGTTCGGGAATCGTACGTACATCGTTCGGGCATCGTCCGTACATGATTCGGGCATCGTTCGTATTGTTAACTTTTACGTTACACGGACTGTAATTGCCACAAAATCTCATTTTTCTATTAAATGCAATAAAACAATAAATAATAATGCTGTGCACGAAATTTTCCCTTGGTACATGTATATGTACAAAATGGCCCATCTCAGTTATTCATTATTTTTGCTGTTTTGATACTATTGCAGTTGGAAAATTTCGTAATTCACATGGCTACAGAAGGGGTCATAAACCTTAACATGTGGCATATAGACTAGTGGCCTATCAAAGTGATCAAGTCTTCAATATAAAGAACCTACTTCTATTGGTCTATACAAAAACAAAATGACAACAATAACAACTTATTAGATTTTGATGTGTTTTATGAATTTATTTCAATCGTTCATCATCAATTTCTTCATCTGTTGTCCGGGTGAAACGTTTCAAATGTTTCCTCAACGTCGTGTTGTTATTATAAAGGGACGTAATACCACTACTAACCGCGTATTAAAATAAGCCCCGCCTACTAACCCCATATGAAATATACATGGTTTCCACCCGGTCGCTTTTAACCAATCATATTCTTAGAAATGTATAGAAGGTAAGATACAAATATATTCACGGTTCTTGAATAACTCAATACTGATCCCATATTCTGACGTAATCTCCGTTTGCGGGCTAAGCAGAAAAAAAAATATTCTGAATCTGTAATTCAGAAAAATTATTTCTGAATATGTCATTCACTATTGGCTAACTTCACATTTGTCTATTTCTGTCGGGCCTCAGATGTCTCAACAGTCATTCGTAAAATACCTTCAAATCACACAGAAATTGAACATATATCACACTTTTCTTAGTGAGTTTTATTTAGCAATGTACATGATAGAATTGTCACGTACGTATGTCATGAAACAAAAAAGATCTTTGATCTCATCTGGCTTGTAGTAGGCTATGACCAGTTCATAGTGTTGTAGAATCTGAATTTATTGAACAAACTTTATTTTTTCCAGATCTTGCACATCATCACAATCCTCATGCAGCTACAACTGCAAAACCGACGCATGCTCATGTACGAACTACCGCTAAACCGACGCATGCTCATGTACGAACTACCGCTAAACCGACACCTGCTCATGTACGAACTACCGAAGTTTACAAAACATATGTGCCAACTACACAGGATTACCGTACAGAAGCCCCAACAACCAGAGCATCATTGACTCTAACTCCTTCAACACAAGCAACGAAAATATCAGTCAGTAAGTATATTGTTTACAATGATGATATAATATCTGAATCAGTCTACTAAGGCCAAACAAAAAAATGTGTGTTTACTGTTACATACTGAAAACAATAAAAGTAGGTAGGAAGGGTTTTTTTATACATCTTTAATATTTTTTACATTGCGTCTATGTGAGCAACATTGTGACTTTAACAATGCCTAATCAGAGATGGTAAAAAAAACTAAACATGAAGAGTAAAATAAAGGAAATCCCTTGGAAAAAAAATGATAAAAGATATATGATTATTATTTCATCAATATTCGTTTAAATGACTTAATTATACTGCTGACTTTTAAATATAATTTCTTTATCATCGGCATATAAATAATATGATTGCGTAATTTCCTAGAATCAACTTGTGATGCTGTAACATTCGTAACTGCATTGGCACGTGGTACAATATTAACCAATGCTAAAGCTGGAAAGTGTACGGATGGTACACGCAGCCGCCCTGAAGCTCTAATCATGGATTCGTGCCAAGCACCTGCCGTAGCTGAATGGTCAGAGGGAGTTAAGGTATTATATATCATCAACCATTGAACTAATAAGTTGTTAATAATTTATTTCTTGTTTTCTATATGATAATTTTGTAGGAGAGTCTGTACTGGGGTTTCTTCATTTCTGTAAAGCTCTGTTATAAACAATTCAAGGCCCTTACATACTCCCCGGCAGGGGTTAAAAAATTTTGTTACAGCTCACTAGCCCAGGGCTAATAGGTAGCAGGATTTTACTAGTCTTGTTGGAAGAACTGCTAGCCCATCAAAACTGACCTGCTAGCCCGAGTATGCCTTACAAATTCAGAGTTTGCTGTATAATACAATGAATTCTATAAACTTAGCATTGTTTACCCGTTGTACAGTAGACTTCGACAAATCGGATACCCAAAAATTATGTCAGCAAAAAATATCCCATTACCCGATATAATCAATTAGTTGATAAATGTATCTTCATTGAATATTCGGCAATAATGAGTTGACAAAATCCTGAGTTGGTAAAAGCCATGACCACTGCTATACATGTATATATAAAAGGATTGGATTGGAGTGCTTTTTATCAGATACATCATCACGTTTGTGTAAAAGATTTATCAGCTGGTTATGTAATGCTCATATTTGTTTTCAATTTTTAAATCCTATATTTATTAAAATAAATCAAATGACCTGAAACATTTATGTGAATAAAAATCAACCATCTATAGTTTGTGTCTTTTATATTTGTTTTAAAAACGAAGTAGTGTCCATATTTACATTTATCACAGGTAAGCTAATTGGGATATAAATAGATTAGACTTAGTACAGTCTCTAAACTGAAATTGTATTTGTTTTATATTTTATTTCTTTAAAAATCAAATTTATTTGAATATCAATAAGATTATCATGATTGATCAAATATTATTACATCTAGTTTAAGTTTTCCGAAGACTGTTAATGTTTAGGTCATGGTTCTCGAGGCTTCTTCACAGTATGTAAATAAAACAAAATGACGTCCATAACATGTGGTCATGCACATGTTACAAAATTATATCTGACAAAAGTCTGATTTCTCCTGTCAAAAAGGATTTATTAGTATATTGCAATAAATTATTCAGAAGGAGGTACAATCAGTTTACATTATATTTCTCCGGTTGTGTAAGCAATGTACAATACCCCCACCCTGTACTGACAAATTGATATTGAAAGTACGGGAATGGCGACCAATACATGATACCGGTCCACCCAGAGTTATTTGTTCTGTTTTTAAAACATGTACAAAATCAGTTCAAATTCTTGGAATCCTGGATGACGTAGTTGAATCTGATTGGCTAAGATAGAAAAGTGATGAGGGGATTTTCTACTTTCTAATTTGGAAACGCCAAGAATATTTTGGTACTAGTCCGTCGGGCATATTGGGTTAAAAGTTTTGATTGCCCGAGGCCTAAATGCTGTAGTCCCGGGCGTCGGGCTAGTGGATTTTTTAACCCCTGAGACTCCCGTAGTAGTAGTAATTAATAGATATAAGAAGATGTGGTATGAGTGCCAATGAGACAACTCTCCATTCAAGTCATAATTTGTAAAAAGTAAACCATTATAGGTCAAGGTACGGCCTTCAACACGGAGCATTGGCTCACACCAAACAGCAAGCTATAAAGGGCCCCAAAAATTACTAGTGTAAAACCATTCAAACAGGAAAACCAACGGTCTAATCTATATAAAAAAAAAACGAGAAACGAGAAACACTTATGAACCACATCAACAAACGACAACCACTGAACAACAGGTTCCTGACGTAGGACAGGTACAAACAAATGCAGCTGTTTGTCATGTTTGCGCTCAGAATGATAGATTTAAGGCTTGCTTTATAGTTTGGTATCATAATTCTTTTTATAAATTTGAGACGTTTAGACGAAACTGAGAATAAACTGAAAGTTGCTTGTTTGAAACGCTTCGTCTTATTCTTACTTAAAAACTACAATACACTAGGTAAAATTAAACATATAAGTTTTACATCTGTCAATTTTTACCCAAGCGCAGTATAGTAAGCTGTTATGGGCCCCAGTATGACCAAATTGATTTGAAACAATTTGTAAAGGATAAACCACGATCATTTTTGGCTCCCTGAATTTGAAATTAAAAAGAATATAACATGTTTTAATCTTTCAAAAAACACCTTTCATATTTTCGTAAGATAACTAGTCTTAAAATTATTGATGATCTACTAAAAAAATGACAAAAAAATCGTCGCTTTCAGATCTTGTTATTGATATAAAGACATGAGCGAAAACCTAAAAAAAAATGTATTTCGCTACAAGATGTATTAATAAAAGATTTAAAGTGGGATAGAAATATTTAAGAAAAGCTTGGTCGTTACTAACTGTGGTACGCACAAGAAATTTCAGATCGTGTTATTACTGCCATTAATTTTGTTGTTAGAGCTAATTTCCTAATGCTTGTAGAGTAAAACTTTGGTTGGCTTGCTTGCTTTGTTTGTATCAACGTTTACTCAAGCTTTGTGATTAAGATTGACATCTTCAAACAATATATATAAGCATAGTTAAACCTGTATATATTATATTTAAATTTGATTGGACGTTATCCCAATTACAATTGTACAATATACAAACAAAGCAAGCAAGCTAACCAAAGTCTTGCTCTACATACATAAGGAAATTAGCGCTAATAGTGTTCCAATCACAATGACGTGTATATACGTGATGTTCATGTATGTTTCATAGGTTATGGGAAATTGCAATAGAATTCCTGACTATACACCTATAGGTACGTTCGATTTTGGAACATTTGTTGAAGATGGAACTGACATTGCCGGAATAATAACTGAGTGTACACCAAATGGATTCAAGGTATGTACTACTCGAACATCCAAGAAATTCTTACTGCTGTTATTAGATATTTATCTAGAATATAAATCGATATTTATACTGCAGCTAGAACACTTCCTACATTCGTCACAACTCGGCCGATGCCATACCTTCATAGAAGAGTAGCGGATTCACCCGAGGATTGCCGATTGACACTTCCTGTTGTCCTTTTCTGCTAAATATAGAAACAAAGTGATTATATTTCGTGCAATATAAAAATAAGAAGATGTGGTATGACTGCCAATGAGACAACTCTCCACCAGATTCAATTTCATTAAACATCGCTTTGTTTCATAATTTGAGATACGTTTAAGGATGGCAAATGCGTTTTATTTTTGTGTTAACATTTTCACAACTATAAATGTAGTCAGTTTTAGCAGCAATACAAAAACAATACTAGGACATTGATTTCTACATATTCCCAGTAACATACTGGCAAGAATCAAGTGTTATAGAAAATTTTCAGATTTGGTTGTCTAAAACTATTGTTGGAGCCCCCTTTTGCTTACATGTCCTTAGTTATTTAGTTGCGCTGGAAGAGAGGCGAAAGATACCAAAGGGATACTCAAAACTCATAAGTCGAAAACAAACTAACAAAAAAAAACGAAAAACTACTAAAAGACAAACAGTACACAAAACACTAAAAGTGCAGATGTTACAACTCCCTCTGGTCAAATTGTCCCAAGTTCCGTTTCAGTTTTCGCTTTGTCTTTAAATGCCATCAGATTTTTTTTAAATTTTGGTTCTACATACTTTAAAATGTGTTCTCGTGAATACTGATGTAGGATTTTCCTATAATACGAGTAATTAGCGAAAACATCTGTATTAAAGTGAAACAGGTTGAAAATATGGTTTTTTTTAATACATTTAGTACCTAGTTATATAAAAAATAAAGACATGTGGTATGATTAAATGTTTTAAATGTTTATATAATCATATATAGATATAAGAAGATGTGGTATGAGTGCCAATGAGACAACTCTCCATCCAAGTCAAAATTTATAAAAGTAAACCATTATAGGTCACAGTACGGTCTTCAACAAGGAGCATTGGCTCACACCGAACAGTAAGCTATAAAGGGCTCAAAAAATTATTAGTGTAAAACCATTCAAACGGGAAAACCAACGGTCTAGTCTATATAAAAAACGAGAAACGAGAAACACTTATGAACCACATCAACAAACGACAACTACTGAACATCAGATTCCTGACTTAGGACAGGTGCAAACAAATGCAGCGGGTTTAAACGTTTTAATGGTACCAAACCTTCACCCTTTTTTCCGAAACATTAGTGTAACATCACAACATAGAAAGACACACTATAAAATATCAACTGAAATAGCTTAACTCAATCAAAGGACATATTAACACCATTGAACATACACTGAACAAATAAATTTGATCTATGATACAATGTAAATACATATCACTGTCACTATTATAGATTGCAATGCAGTTATGTGGACATCCAGTAGATGTTTATGAAGTGACGTCAGGCCATCCAAATCCAAGACAGAATGCCGACAATTATCATGTTATTAATTGGTGAAAATAATAAAAAAAAAAAGGTGAAAAATTACTGTTGGATATTTTTTTTCCACAGAGACAAGTATGGTCTGCTATTTTCGCCATAACGAAAAACGATAGCTTTAGGTATTTAGTACATGCAGACTAAATCGTTTCCCCTTAATTTCGTGAAAAATTTGTATGGATCGACATTTAAGGAATGACTGTAATATTGTTTCTGTCTATGAAGAAATAACACAAAAAATGTGGTTCACACTCAGTCTGAATAACCCGCGTATTTTAAAGTGTGCACCACATTTTTTATGTTATTTCGAATAGACAGAAAAAATATTACAGTCATTTCTTATAATTTAATTCTTAATTCCATTTTAAACCGGAGTAAATCATGAAAAAACTTTGATGACGTCAAGGTCACATGACAAAATTATGTCTATGAGCTGATAAACAAAACAACGTCAGCCAATCGGAAGACGCGTTACATCCAAAATTAAATTATAAGTAGATATGAGCTATACATAAATGATACAACATCCCAACGACACAAAATAAAAACACATACGCATGTCCAAATACAATTTTCAAAGAGAGACAAATGTCTACACAATATGCCATGCAGTAACTTCTTCAAAATCTTGTAATTTTTTTAAAGAATGAAACAGATATATTGTGAGCTACCAAAATGAAAGAAATGCCATCAATTTTAAATTCACCTAATTTGCATGAAACAATTAGACATAACAAAAGACAATCACTGGCAGGGTTTTGACTGTGGACTGTGAAAAAAGACGTGTTAATTTTATATATTACACTATTCGGTAAAAATGTTGCAAAGGATTTTTCAATTTATAATGCAAATTAGAAATTGATTTCAACATTGCCATATAGTGAGGGTGTATTATTTGAAAACATCAAAACAGGCATTGTTCAAATACAATCATAGCATCTAGGAACATAAATTTCTATTTAAAACCACATTTTATAAGAGGAAACACTTATTACTATATTTTGCTAAAAAAAAAAACGCCTATACGATTTTAAGAAGTTGTTAGGGGGTATATGTTTGTGAGAGTTGCCTCATTCATGTACATGTACCTGTTGATTCAATTTGATTATGGATGTCAGTTCATAATCAATGAATAATTTCCAGTGTTTGAACAACACTTTTTTTCTCACTATAGCTGAACAACATTTGTGAGTACTTTGATGTGTGAAAAAATAAAAGGCACCGAGTGACCATTCATCTTTTGTACGTGTTTTTCGAATTGTTTATAAATCAGTAATGTATTTATTTTTTTACTGACTTTCCAAAAGAAGCAAACATGTTTTTTTTCACATTGAATCTTAAACAAATACGTGTTAGTTTTTTTTCTAGGCATTTATTATTAATTTGTTATGATGTGAGTAAACAAAGTAACAGAAAGTGGCAATATCTCTTTCAGACTGACATATTTACTTAAACATGTAAAACAATTGCATTCTTCTATATTTATCTTTCATGTTGATCAAGTTCAAAATAACAAATGTTTTTGTATATAATTACTAATTGCATTTACATAACTTAGTCGATGTAACAAAAACATGCATGTCAAACAAACGATAATAGAATATTTAATTTAACAGATCACCAGAATAATTGTATAATTCGTACTACGTCATGGGTTTATATGCGGTAACTTAAATTGAATTGAACCACGATAATAGAATATTTAATTTAACAGATCACCAGAACAGTTGTAAAATTCGTACTACGTCATGGGTTTATGCGGTAACTTAATTGAATTGAACCACGATGATAGAATATTTAATTTAACCATGGAAGTATTATATTGTCAATATAATACTTCCATGATTTAATTAACAGATCACCAGAATAATTGTATAATTCGTACTACGTCATGGGTTTATGCGGTAACTTAATTGCATTAAACCAAACATCTCAACTTCTCCGACATCAATAATAATTAAGGTATATAAATACGATATATCCGCGAGTAATTACAAAAGAAGACAATAATACATCAACCCAACGACACAAATATGTTCAAATAGACATCTGTTTTGTTTAAATTTTTAGCATGTTAAGCATTCAGGGGGTAGATCGACAATTTTGTAATCTCTAAGTACCCCAAAAAAAATTTACAAACTGGTCTGTTACAGTTTTACTTCCAATGTCTTTTTTCCCCGTTCCAATTTATATTCACAGAAATGTGAACTTCATTTATAAGGGATTTGCATCAAAATGAACATATGTACAACAGGTGTTTGACTTTAAATCTCTGTTTATAAAGAGATACGACATATTTCTACTGTATTTCACAAGCAGTTTTGTATCATTTCAAAACGTTTGTTTATCTTGTTTAATCTATTATACTTCAATTTTGTAAGTCTATGCGGTATTTAAATATTGGTGGATATTTTGAACTTTCAATCAGATAACAAAATTTAATATATAAAGATGGTACAAAACACTCAGTCTGAATCTTACAGAATTAGAAAAAGTTTGGATATTTGTTGCAACTATGAGTAGGAAAGACAATTCAAAATACCTCATCGCTATTTGTCCACCATTTTTATGAATAAAAAAACAAAGGATATGGGGTAGCCATCCATGATAGAAAATCAGTCATGCGCAGCAAAAAACACACCATTATTGTATATCACAGACGATCCCGTAAATTACTGGCGTCAAAAGACGTGATTGTTGTTGAGTGTTGCAGAAACCAAAATAGGAAAACAATATATGAATACATATATCTATCAATATTATGTTTATGTATTGTTCCTCAGATTGTTAATTTAGTTTGGTTCTTAAAAGCCAAAAACATGCAAAAGATGACAAAACAATGTAAGTCAGTGGTTGTCGTTGGAACTGTCTGTCATATTTGTTTTTCGTATATTGTTTTGTTATAAATTAAGCCGTTAGTTTTCTCAATTGAATTGTTTAATATTTGTCATGTCGGAGCCTTTTATAGCCGACTATACGGTATTGGTTTTTCTCATTGTTGAGGCCGTGCGGTCGCCTATTATTGCTTACATCCACTTAATTTCAACTTTGTTGGATAGTTGTATCATTGACAATTATACCACATCTCCTTACTTTTATAATGACAAGTCTTCAGAAGATATTTCTATCACAAATAGAGTAAGTGGCAGGAATCCAGAACATAATATGTCTTTTCATAAATGTTCAATACCTTATCATTCAGCTTGGTGTTTTCCTCATATATATTTCTGGTATCGGGTAATTTCTTTCATATTTAACCGCTGGATGAGAGACGAGAGTCATGGGGTTTGAGGACTACACATTCTTTATGTGCCTGTCCCAAGTCAAGAGTCTGTAGTTCAGTGGCTGTCGTTGGTTCATGTCTGTCATAGTTGTTTTTCGTAAATTGTTTTGTTATAAATTAGGCCGTTAGTTTTCTGATTTGAATTGTTTCATATTATATTTTTCATGTCGGGGCCTTTTATAACCGACTATACGGTCTGGATTTTTATACGCTCGCTTATGGGACGTATTATGGTATACGGTTGTCCGTCCGTCTGTCCGTCCGACCGTCTGTCCATCCAACATGTCGGACAATAACTATAAAACGCTTAAACAAATTTGAATGAAACTTTATTGAATTGTTTATGTCTTGACTTAAGCTCCTTTTAGACTTTTATAAATTTAAGATTATACGTTTTCGAGTTATGGGTTTTATTTATTAAAAAAAGGGGGATTTTTCCAGTTTTCGGACAATTACTCAAAAATGTTTTAGCCGTGTCCATGACACTTTGGTGAATTGTTTATATCTATTGACTTGAGCTCCCTTCTGATTTTTATAAATTGAAGATTTTACGTTTCCGAGTTATGGGATTTTATTCATAAAAAGGGGGGATTTTCCAGTTTTTAGACAATAACTCAAAAGTGCTTTGAGCAGTTTTCATGAAACTTTAGTGACAGGTTTATGTCTATTGAAATAACCTCCCTTTATTTTTTTATTTTTTTTTTTTATAAATTTCTGATGTGACATTGAGGAGTTATGGAACTTTATTTGTTGAAAAAGCGACGGGCATATCATGTGCTCATGGCGCAGCTCTTTATTATCATTGTTGAAGGCCGTATGGTTGTCAATAATTGCTTAAATTCACTTCATTTGAACTTTGGTGGATAGTTGATCTCATTGGCAATCATGCCACATCTCCTTATTTTCATATTGTAAATAGACAGTTTTGGAAGACTTTGTTAGCTCAATCAAAGAGTACAGTATTTCCAAGTTTGCATAACGTCTGAATTTGTAGTTATAAAATAACTATCATATCTAAACAATTTTTCAGACACCGTAATTGAAACAATTTTTATGTCGCTTATGTTAGTGCGTATTTTACATCTATTTTTTCTCCTTTGTTGTAAGCTTAAGAGACCATTTAGAAATGCCTTTTTTTTTAATCGAAAGAAAACAAAATTCTATGTGGTTACAAGATATCCAGAGAGAAAATGTAACACACCGTATTTAACACATGTCTTTGGTAGAGAATGTCCGTGTTCGAGAAAACATGGATGTAAATTCTAATCTAATTTGCTAAAAACATTTGTGTGTTTTTATTAAAACTCAGGTTTCGGTCTTTTGTCTTGCTATTATTTGATTTTCTTCTTAGTACTTAATTGATGAGTCAGGGAATTTCCAACTGATGATGAGTTAGGCGATTTCCAACTGATGATGAGTTAGGCCATTTTCAACTGATGATGAGTTATGCCATTTCCAACTGCTTTTGTATAGTTGGCTATTATGGTGCGTTGTTTCTGCACTGCATTTTCAAGACTTACACAAAGAGGAGGGATGATTTCTGAAATAAATATAAAATCCCGCCACATTCTTCATGTGTCTGTCCAAAGCAAGAAATCTGTAACCCACTTTTCGGGATTTATATTCATCATTAACGGTCAAACTCATAGGATGTATAATTAACGTTCATAAGTTCATTTTGTCTTGTCCGCAAACGAAACAAGAGTTGTAGTACAAGCAGAAAGTTTCTTTTTTTTTGTTTTTTTTTTTTACTAACGCTATGATAAGAAGAAAATCCTGAAAAACTTTTCTTTTGGTTTGCATTGACAGTTAATGTTCTGTGCTGTGTGGAGGGAATAAAAAGTATCAACGTTCCTCTTTTCATAAATGATTCAATCTTGATGTATTGTGACGATACCTCGTGGTTGTATGAATTTTTCCGTAATTTAATATGAAATTGTTGTCATTTTAACATGTTTAAACAGTATTTATTCGATTTTTGTCCGTTTTAGTTCGTGATTTTTGTCTTGTCCGCAAACGAAACAAGAGTTGTAGTACAAGCAGAAAGTTTCTTTTTTTTTGTTTTTTTTTTTACTAACGCTATGATAAGAAGAAAATCCTGAAAAACTTTTCTTTTGGTTTGCATTGACAGTTAATGTTCTGTGCTGTGTGGAGGGAATAAAAAGTATCAACGTTCCTCTTTTCATAAATGATTCAATCTTGATGTATTGTGACGATACCTCGTGGTTGTATGAATTTTTCCGTAATTTAATATGAAATTGTTGTCATTTTAACATGTTTAAACAGTATTTATTCGATTTTTGTCCGTTTTAGTTCGTGATTTAAAGATTTGTGGGACTGTAGACGAAGAGTTATCGATTTGACGGTCACAACTGCAGCTTTACTGGTGACGCGTAGGTTATTTTACATAAGGAAATGCCTTTATCACGTTAGGAATATGACAGTTGTTTCCATTCGTTCAATGCTTTTGAGCTTTTGATTTTGTCATTTGATAAGGGAAAGTAAAATCACAACTCCGAGGAAAATTCAAAAAGGAAAGTCCCTAATCAAATGGCAAAATCAAAAGCTCAAACACAGGGACTTTCCGTTTTGAATTTTCCTTGGAGTGCGGTTTTTTGTTATTTTACTCTTTGTTTTTCAATGCACAGACGTAGCAAGATTTGATAACACACAGTATAATAGATTACCAGACAGTCCTACCTAGAATTTAAGGGCAGAGGGACAGTTTAAAAATGAAGGGCACATATGAGCGGTTTCTTCGCTGAAACGGGACAACCTGATCATGAATTAGATTAAAGATTGAAATAAATTATTAATGCTTTCCTAGATTTATAGTACTAAAAGATTATTAAAAGCTTTTTTCTAATTAGTTGAAATATTTTGTTTGCATTGCAAGTATTTAAAAATAAAATTCGCAGGGCAGTACAATTCGGGCAATGAAATTAAATGAAAACACAGATGGGCATCGTGGTTGTGTCTATCTACTTGGGCCTAGCTTGGAAACTGATAACTTAAACTGGTGGTAGCAAACTTTTTCATTTAAATCGTCTGATGATACGTAACTTTAAAAAATGAAAATATTAAAAAATAAATTTGTTTAAGGGGGATAGTTTAGGCTTATCAAATAATGTACTTACAACGTGCCTTAAGCGCATTTCGACGATGAATGTTTTATACTATAATAATTACTGTTTTATTAAATATAATCATATCTTAACAAAAAACAGAGAATATAGTTCATACCCTGTAGCTTGTAAAAAGAGTGGGGATCTATATATTTTTTTTTTATTATGTTGTTGTATTCTTTAAACATTCACGATAAAACTAACATTTTGACAAAGTATAACCTTTCCCTTTTTGTCTATGTTTTTACAGTAATACTAAACAAGGTTTTGTCAAATGTCCGAAAATGACCATGTGTGTAAAAAAATATATTAAATTAACCAAATTTCCTTTTTCTATTATCCAACTAACCTAAGCAAATACAGATTTGGCTTTGTTTGATAAAATGTATTTTCAGTTATCACAGGCTATTGAGCTGTTGTGAATGTGTGTGGGGGTGGGGGAAAAAGGGGGTGGTGTGTAGGGTATTTGACATCCCTTAAACGCTTTTTTATTAGATATTCTCGTACTTTATTCGCACAGGCATCAACATTTGCACAGTGGCGTACATTTCAGGATAACATTTGATCGTTATAGTTTTGAACATTTTAATTAGATTGATGCATTGATTGTTGGTTGCTTAACGCCCCGTTGCAACTATTTCATGCATGTTCAGGACGAGAACAAATTAATAATTGATACAATAGTTATGTCCTTTAATGGAGGCCGTCTGGGATGATTGATTGATTGATTGATTGGTGTTTAACGCCACTTTCAACACTAATGTGCAATTTCGTGGCGGTCAGTTTTTATTGGTGGAGGAAGCCGGAGTGCCCGGAGAGAATTCGAACCACCGACTTTCGGTAGGCAAACTGACAATCCTAGTCAATTAAGATGGAGTCGAGTGCACCTGCCCCGTGCGGGATTCGAACTCACAACCTCAGTGTTGACTGGCTAGTGATACAGTAGTTCGACTTCTTAGACCACTCGTCCACCGAGGCCCCCCGTCTGGGATGAAAGTCCGGGAAATTTAGACTGCCACTGAAAAAATGAGGGTATATGATAGGGAAAGAAATTTTGCAACAGGCCACCTACTGACCCCTCAAAGAGTTGTTGCAAGGGTTCTAAATTAACGTACAAAGAGCGTGACATTCTCTGTACACGAGGCATCGGATTTAACGTCCGCATTCTGACCGGACGTGGCTGCGTACTTGTATATCCCTCACATCCAAATAAACGCACCACTTTGGCAAGGGTTTTACTGCCGGTCGGAAGAAGACCAAGAGTGACCATGATAAAATTATGTAGTTTTATGAGTATAAAGTTCATTCATTCACCATATTTCTATTCCCCAGATTCCCTTGGGATGAAATTTCAATGAGATAAGAGAAGATTATTAGAATGAAGGTTAATTTTAGCATGTTTAACCGGTTTATCAATAAATATTACATGTGGCTCCTATGTACAAATGAACATATTAGCTAAAACAATAATAATAAAGTAATCAAATATCGATTAAGATTATTTTTTTTTTCAGTTCTCTCCTCTGTTAACGTGTATGCTTGAAAGGGGGAGGGGTGTTATCAACTTTTTCCCTTTTTCCTTTCTATTATCAAATACTTTAACATGCTTTTAACATATTTAATGTTTGTTAGATGAATAACCATATAGCACCTGTCGGAATATTTGTTTATTACTTACCGGTATATATCTCACCTGTTTATTTGTGTGTAACCTATGTGCAGACAGGGGAACCACTTATACAAAGAAAACGTAATTAACGCGGTAAAAATAGATTTCATTTGGATAGCTGGAGAAATAAGAACAGTTCTAAAATTTATCCGCACGATCTGTTAATTAATGGAAACATATGGAGATTATATTTAAAATGTGTTCTTAAATCAACGTGTTTACCTGACTAAGTTCAAAAGAATGTATATGTTTGTAAATAACGTGAATGGGGCGAATGTCTACAGGTAAACAGGTACACATTTAACATGGTGGTGAACTTACACATTTCTATCGCTGTTGTACTTTTAATATGTTGTGTGGACGATATTGTATGCTGGTCTTCGGGATATTACATAGACAATGGCGTGGATCAGACGGAAAAATTACATGAAATTAACCCGAGGAGTAAGCGAGAACTCCAACAAGAAATCTTGACACTGCTTGGACTACACCATAGACCAAAACCAAAGGTTCATACTAATGACTATTCGGCACCTCGTTTCATGTTGGATTTGTACAATACTATTGCGGGTGCTGATGGAATTTTATTAGATGACACGCCATCATTCAGAATATCAGGGAATATATCTATTGGGGATATTATAGAACCGATCCAAGGAGCAGACGTTATCATGAGTTTTGTTAATCGTGGTAGGTATAAATGGATGTGAAATGCCTTTTCTGAAGGGGGAATGTGAAAGCACAAATTGTCTCCCTTTCTGTCACGATTTTTTTTTTTAAATAATGTGTTTTCATCCATAAATATTTAGTTTATACACCCCTTCCCAATTTATTGATCTGTTGGTGTAAATTTGTAGTTCAAATTCAATTTGAGAGGTGTTATTTAATTTAACTCTATGAGTAGATGTCTAAAAACAAAAATAATAAAAGACCATTTCAACACCCCCCCCCCCCTTTTTCCTCATCGCATCCATTCTCCATGTAAAAAAATCTCGTAGAAGTGGGATATATATTTCAGTTAGTAATGTTTCTTTTTCTTTAATGTATTTTATGGACTGTTAAAAAGGGGAATTTCAGTATCATGAAACATTGTATACTATTTTGTGTTACTTTACTTTTGAAATAACATTTGTTTTATGCAATTTAGAATCAAACAGTGCATTGAGAAAACTTCCCTTGCAACAGATGAATTGTCGGTGTTGAACTATTTGACTCTAATTTATTCAAAATAAATATTAGAATCACCGATGTGGCCAACCCCCAAACCTTCAAAAATCAAATGACTGCTCTTTAAGAAGAAAAATCTTCCCCAAAATAGATATATCTATATTTTTCTACATAATAGAATTTTAACAGTTTGTTTGAAGTTTCTAGCTCATCATGCTCATGTACCGAAACTTATTCAATGTACATATTATTTCTTTGAGTGATAATATTTTCAAAACAACGATATCACTTTCTCGTGAAGTATTGTCATTAGCTGATAAAATTATCATTTTTTATTTAAACTTTAGCAACTGTCAATAGACAATAATTATTTTTGTTTATCATGTGTTTATATTGTAAAATAAAACTATTTATTCCATATTGATAGAACTTTAGTAGGTTTTTCTATATGAATGGGATTTTGAATAAATAAGCATATTCACCTGCGGAAAAAGTATATTCACCGCGCAAAACGTCGCGTGCTTTTACGTGTATAATAACGATACAATGTTTGACGTTTAGTTGGTTTTGGTAAATAACTGTTACATGTATTTTATACATATTTTTCTCGCTCGGAACATGGAATAAAACAATTACTGTCTTTTGTTTCGGTAAATATGTGGTTTAATTGACTTTTGAAAAACCTAGTGACATTCACTTCGGTCGTTGGCCTCAGTGAATATCAGTTTTTCAAAAGTCAATAAAACCACACATTTACCTCATCAAAAGACAGTAATTGTATACAATTCTTTTTGTTATTTCTACATGCAAATTAGTAAACTTGAATCAGGAATTGATATTGATAATGATAATAATAAACAAAACCATATGCAATAAATTCATGGGGTTTAAAGAGAATAGAGAAAAATAAACTACAGAAAATGGATGAAAGAAAAGAATAGAGAAAAAACAACAAAGAATAGAGAAAAAATAAAGAATAGAGAATAATGATGTCCTCAAAATAATAATAATAATAATAATAATAATAATAATAATAATAAATAAACAAAACCATATGCAATAAATTGATGGGGTTTGAAGAATAGAAAAAAATGAACTAAATCTACAGAAAATGGATGAAAGAAAAGAATAGGGAAAAAACAAAGAATAGAGAATAATGGTGTGCTCAAAACATTTAACATATAAAGAATAAATAATGGGCAAGAAATGTGAGGAATAGAGAAAAATTACATGTACCTAATAAATTAAAGAATACAGAAATGAAGAACCCCCATCTAGACCCTCATAAATCACAAAAAAATACATGTTTTATGCTACCAGAGTTTTCTTTTTGCGTATTTTACAAATAATATGGGTTAAAATCCCTGGGCTGGTTTTTGCATAGCTCCTACATTGTATTTTTCCTTTAGATACAGTATATTTGCCGAGTTCATCACGACGACAATTGATAACAAAATTGCTCTATAATTAACATGATTACAGGGTTTACATTTCAAACAAGATAATTTTTTACCTATATATTAGACTTGTATATTTCGTTCACTGATGTACCTTTCACAAATGACAAACCTAAAATGTCAACTGATTTTTACCTTTGTAAAACACAGGTGTTTTGACCATTAAAACGACAGAGTAATTAGTCAATATATCTTACCAACATCTAAATTATGTATAATTGTAACATGTACAATGGTTTTCTTTCTAATAGTACAAACCACTTTAGATATAAAATATTTTATTTAAATCATCAATACGTTTATTTTTGTTGAAATGTGAGTAAATATTTCCATTTATAGTTTCGATGATAATTTTGTCGTTAATTTTATTTAAGTTTATTAAGTATTTTGTAATGTTGATCACTAGACAGTGAGTTGAAGGTCAATGGTTCAATCCTTGAACTCGGATTTCATCAGTATTATTCAAACATCACTGGAATAGTGAAAGAGGGGCGAAAGATACCAAAGGGACATTCAAACTCATAAGTCGAAAATAAACTGACAACGCCATGGCTAAAAAAGATAAAGACAACAGACGAACAGACAAACAATAGTACACAAAACACAACATAGAAAACTAAAGACTGAGCAACACGAACCCCACCAAAAACTGGGCGTGATAGTTACATTAAATCAATTGAGTTTGCCTTCGGGATTCTGTGTAGCTGCTAAAACGACCACCCTTTTTCAAATATACGTTAAATCAATAAGCCACCTTCCGTTTATCTTAAGTTGGGGCATTTTTTTCTGCGAACAAGCATGTTAAGATCCGACTTAGCGTAAATCGGTATAGTACAAAGCAGGGTTCGACCCATAATATTCACATCACATCAATATGTGTTCTCGTTTTAATATGCATGACATATTTTCCACTGGACGTCAAAACACCAATCCGTCCATCCATTCTCTATAACATCCGGCATTAAATCGAGTGCATGGAATTAAAACATACTAAGGCCAAACAAATATATATACTTGTTTCCTATCTCCTGGCAGAAATTATAGTTGGGTAAAAGATGTTTATTTATTCTTATATTTTACTTTGACGATATAGGTAAATGTTCTAGACTTCAAAGGTGCTTAACCATACATTTCATTAAGTATGTTAGGGTAAGCATGACAATATAGAATAGTTAGGGAGACATGAAACAGAATTTTATTGTTTGGCTTGAAGGAAGATCTCAGACGTGATTGAAACTTATTCAATGATACAAGTATAATACAAACGTATTGATGCTTCTCGAGATCAAATATTTTTTGAGTCAATGAAGAAGTTGGAATGCGAGAATTATTTATATTTCTTTTTCAAGCATTTTTTAATTTACAATCACATGCTGGAGCAAGCGTCTTAAATTTCCGTTTTGGCTCAAGGCCGAAACAGTAAATTACTATATTGAATAAACATTCCTCTAATAGGTTACGAATAATTAAATTACAGATGGTTTTACATGTGTTTATCTTGCACTAAATACTAATAAAATAGGGTTATAGATATTGGCAGCTCTTTTCTGTTGAAAGTTTTGGCATTTCATTAGATATTATTGCATAGAGAATGCACTCGGGCCATCATAAAAAAAAACATTTGTGTTTTTAATAGGTTTTTCCTGTATGCCTTTTGTTATGCCAAAAAATTATTACTCTTAAGTGTTATTGGTGAACCGTGAGTCCTTGTGTAGTGAAGGCACAAACAAAAAGAAGGGAAAACAAATTAAAATGAAGTATAATTTCTATCTACACATACCTACATCTCTGGCCAGAGGAGGAAAAGCCGAAAACACTTACTTTTGTTTTCAATCTCACTATGTGCAGATCCTATTTTTTTTGGACAAGAGGATGGTTGCATCCCATGTTTCATCGATTTATTTTTACGCATTTTTAAAAGAAAAAATCGAAAGAAAGGAGGTCTCTATTGCCTGTATCTCCCTCACATGTCAATGCACATCATTTTGACCATTGTATTGAGTGCGAATATATATGCTATAAGCTTATTGAAATGTTGCCCCATTTTATATTTTTACAAGTACAAAAAATTCAATGACATTGATCTCGATATTTGTAGGTAACAATTTCCATCATGTATCATGTTACCAAGACATTTAGAGTAAGATAGTTGCGGAAGATACAAATGCTGCTCCTGAACCGCTTTATATAATTTTGTGGAATTTTCAAAAAGTCTTAAATACTTGATGTACTTTTGCACGTGGTCTTTTATTTCATTTCTTCATCTGAATGATAATTGATGGTGTTTACTTTTTGAAGGCATGGACTTTTTACACGTGTTTATCCACTGCTCACAAATCCCGAATCATAATTTAAATAAACTGCATCGGAAGTAAACACATTTATTCTAAAACCAGTAATTGGCATGATACGGGCTATATATGTTCTTCTCATATATTTTATGATGGTATGATACTAAACTCCTTACGGGAGGGATTGTACTTGATTTTCATATGATGAAGACATAATCTTTCAATCAGTTTAATTGAGGTCTGGAGCTGGCATGTCAGTAACTGCTAGTAGTCCTTTGTTCAATTATGTATCATTGTCATTTTGCTTAGTTTCTTTTATTACCTATTCTGACATCGGACTCTGACTTCTTTTGAACTGAGTTTTACTGTGCGTATTGCTATGTGTTTCTTTATTCTACATTGGCTAGAGGTATAGGGGGAGGGGGAGATCTTACAAAACATGTTTAACCCCGCCGTATTTTTGCGCCTGTCCCAAGTCAGGAGCCTCTGGCCTTTGTTAGTCTTGTATGTTTTTTTAACTTTAGTTCATTTATATGTTTTGGAGTTTAGTGTGACGTCCATTTTCACTGAACTAGTACACAAATTTATTTAGGGGCCAGCTGAGGACCACCTCCAGGTGCGGGATTTTCTCGCTGCGTTGAAGACCCATTGGTGGACTTCGGCTGTTGTCTGCTCTTTGGTCGGGTTGTTGTCTCTTTGACATATTCCCCATTTCTAATCTCAATTTTATTTATCAGAATCTCTACCAAACACTGATATTGTGCACCTCTCATTTTTAATGGTCCTTACTTTTTTTAAGGTTAACCTTAGCAAATCATAGACTTTACAAGGGCCGAGGGCAAACTGAACATTTCTTGCATTTCCTTTAGTTTTTAAACTTATTTTCGTCTATTCATTTAAACAAGCCTCTGTCCTGAGTATCATCAGTCAGGATTCTTCTTCGTCAAAATAATAACCCCATTACGCCACCTAAATTTTATAATCATAAAAATGGAAGCCATTGTAGTGATGACGCTCTGTCAATTTTAACTCTTGAAAACCGATAAATTTATCGACATAGCATCATAACGATCCTTATATGCAAGTTGTATTTTAAAAGACAAATGTGTCTACTAGCTTTTTAAAACGCCGTTTCAAAAATATTTTTAAAAATTCTAATAAAATATTTCGTGGAAGGGCAGACTAAAACATTTCAGAGGTTGAAGACTATTTACCCAAGATAACACACACAAAAAATGAAGTTTTTTTTCGAAGTTATGCATTTTGAAGATCCACTTGAAAAGTCTGTCGTCAAGTACTATTATTAAAAATTTGTTCTTCGAACACTCCTACTCTGTTGTTATGACTCATTAGAAAGGTATGTCACTTGACCCATATTTTTTTCATTTTTTAGTTCTGTAATTTTTTTTATGTTATTATATCAACCTTTAGCCTCAATATATAAAAATGATAGAACCTGACGCGAGATGATGTATCAATATTTTTCTTTTATACATTTTCAAGACAGAAAAGTCGACTCAAACACGCCTAAACATACAAAGGTGTACTCGACTTTTTCTTTTCGATGAAATTGATGCCCATTTTGGGGATTTTTTTCCAAAAAAAAACTGTCGGGGGGACAGAGACGTAAATTAATGCTTTAAAAAGTTCAATTTATTATCTTTCTTTTGGAATTTTTTCCGCGGAATTTATGCTTATGCACAAAAAAGATCCACGTGTATTTGCACCTACCACAATCGACTGTTTTGTGAAAATTTGTCTATAATTTAAAAGTCTGCAAATAACTCGAAGCTCCATACAATATTTCATATTTTAACTAAAAACACATACAGAAGATGAATAAAATCCTAAATTAGGCACTTTCATTAAACTTTTAAAGCCCATAGAAACAGATGTAAATAATTCAAATCTACCAACTTGGTCTTTTTTACCTTCTCTAACAGAGAGTTCCATTTCTTTTGTTTAATTTCAACTGGGTTTCCGCCTGTCATGTGTCATGATTCTACCACAACATCAAGTGTGATACGATATCTCTCCACTCGAGACAGATTTTTTAAACTTGAAACGAGGCTTGCCGAGCGTTTTAAATGTTTAAAATGTCATTGTCAAGAAAAGTATAAATCGGCTAAGAATTAGAGAAATTCCTCTGTTCGGTCATATTACACTATTTCGTCTTATTACATTCACTGCTGGGACACCTGGCATGTCTGCATAGTTCTGTATTTGTTGGAACCGTAATACTTGTTTGGATTTCGTAATAGAAAGTATACAGAATTAAGCATTGATCGTTCTAAGTTCCATTTCATAGACGATACGTTAAGGACTTCTACAAAATCATAAAAAGTCATGTCTTCAGTGATTTTTATTTCACTAAATAAGTCTTTTTATAATGTTTTCTCAGGACTCGATATGGGTACAGTTAAGAAATAATTTATACATTCCACTTTAATTTCCTAACGATGGTGTTGATGCTGAATAAACTGCAATAGGACGTTCATTCCCAAATTATTCATTTCAAGACGTAGAAAAGCAAATATTGAAGCCAATAAAAAACAAATTTTAAATGAAAAAATAAAATCTGTACAACAAAATGCTTAGCATGCAAACTGACGAGAAGTGTACATTTTATTCAATGAACAATTTTTTTTTCAGCAAAAAAAGTCCCACATCTACGCCACGAGAAAGACCGGACGTTTTTCTTTGATTTTAGTGAAGTGACAGTGGAAGAAAAGGTAGTGAAAGCTGAACTTAGGATTTTTAAAGATAAAGCTAAAAAGTGGAAAAGTAATGATTTTCAGATTCAGATATACTTGATAAAACAAGGACCGGATCCCGAGTAAGTTTTTTTGCTTGTGTGTATATTATTTTATATTTTAATTGCCCGGCATATACACGACACAGCTTGTGATCTTATTCAAATTACATTAACATGATAAAACATTCAACAAGTCATTAAATGTCCCTTGTCCCGAATTTAATTGATCCCGCACAGTCATGTCAATTCCCCTCTATAAAAGCATGAATTTTACAGCTGGATGGGAGAGGTCCTGGAGAACACCCTTCTATACCACTGTCAACTCGTTTAATCTTTTTGATGATGACGATGGATTGGTATTGAAGGTACAGTGACATCTATATGTACTACATGCATATCAGGACTAGAACACAAATAACGCGTTTTACTAGACCGACACACTGATCCGAATGTTTAACGTACTAGTTCACAAGGTTATACTTATTATTAGTCTGCAGGTTCATGTTTAACCATCCCTGGATATATTACTCTGACTCCAAGCCGACATGTGTTTACTCGTATCCCTATAAATGCCGCGTCGGTAGCGGACAATTCGCTAATACTGATTTTCAAGTCTTTGGTATGACCCGGACGGGGATGGATTATTTTCGACTTGAGTTTACAATGAATATACATATACATTGTGTGCCTCTTACACCTTACAATTTTCAGATGGTCCCTTTGCTAGGTGATATATAATCAGTATATATACGACGGGTGCCACATGTGGAGCAGGAACTTCTGGTGCACCTGAGTTCACCCCGGTTTTTCGACGGGTGCCACATGTAGAGCAGGAACTTACGGAGCACCTGAGTTCACCCCGGTTTTTTGGTAAGGTTCGTGTTGCTCAATTTTTTGTTTTCATTGAAGTGTTTCATGAGTTTTGTGGAATTGTTTGTCGTTTCGTCACTTTTCGTTTTTGCAATGACGTTGTCAGTTTTTCTTCGACATATGATTTTTGAATTTCCCCTTGGTCATCTTCCGCCTCTTGTTTCTTATGTACATCGTATTCTATCAAAGAAAATATTATAGACTGGACCTTAATGATGTTTTCTTTTGGTTTCTTCCGACTTCCAGACGAAAAGCTAAATTAGCGGAGCATTTTGTTGTTAACACCCAGTATATATTTACAGAAATACAAATACTGTTCAAAGGGTGATTGTATGTTAGATAAAATGGATCAACAAATTTGTCACTACATCTTGCACGAACCTTTGGTCTTCTGAAAGTTTTGCATGTCCGTTACATGTATGCATATTTTAGCATTATACGTTGGTAGTTGAATAAGGAATAAAAGTAATTAATCGAAGTCTAACATCCAAGAAACTTCAATTTTTCCTCAATCCACGAAAATTGGTACCCACGAAAATAAATGAATCCACAATAGACTGATAACTGCAAATTGCTGCAAATTGATAATGTAAAGCTAACATACCATTTTGTTAATTCTAATGCCTTTATAGCTCACTACACGGTCTGTCTTCTAATTGTTGAAGGCCAAATGATGGCCTACATGTTGTTGTTACATCATAAATTTATTTTTTTCCTTTTGTGGATAGTTGTTGTCATATTGACAATCATACCAAATCTCCTTATCTAACTCCAAGAAATATTGAAAAATATGTTAGGTCCATAAACCTGACAAAATCAAACGCTCGACTATATCAACCAACGGAAAGAATGGATAACAACTGTCATATTCCTCACTTGGTACATACATTTTCCGAAGACAATGGTTGGTTAAATCTAATTTTATGGGTACCACTTGTATGACAGTGAGCTGTTTGACACTTTATATCTAATAATGTGGATTCAATATTATTCGTTGGATACCAATTTTCGTGGATTTCGTTGGTATAGGTGAACCACGAAATTAAATGTTCAATGAATGACAAATTTTCTATAGGCTTGTATGCAGACTTCGGCAAAACCACGAAATCAAATATCCACGAATATGTAAATTTTTCTTAATCCACAAAATTGGTACCCACGAAAATAAATGAATCCACAGTATTGGCAAAATTGTTTGAGCAACCCAAAACTGACATAATTGGTCTACCTGACATTTATGGGATCATCCACCATTTAAAACGACCCAACAGAATTTAACCAAACATTGACAGATTCTTCTACAGGACATGAAATTAGGCATCGCAACAAACGGCTTTCTCCAATGAGCAAATCCCATACCGTATTGATTAATATAAAACTAAGCAGATGTGTTATGATTGCTATCACCAATGTTCAAATGAATTGGATGTCAGCAATTATAGGCAACCGTACGACCTTCAACAGTGAGAAAACCCATACCGTATAGTCAGCTATAAAAGGCACAGAAATGAAAAATGTGAAACAATTCAAACGAGAAAAATAACGGCCTAATTTATAGCAAAACAATTCACAAAAGCAATTACGACAGACATTAACCAACGACAACCACTGAACTACAGACTCCTTACTTGGGACAGGCACATACAGAATATGGCGGGGTTAAACATTTGAGAGCGTCCAACCCTACCCTAACCTGGGATAGTGGTGTAACAGCACACGATTAGAACAAACTATAAAAATCAGTACCAATTGCATTGATAGGAAGACAGCATCCGATTTAAATCTGTTGAGTATAATTGATGTATATTCATATGTTAAGACAAATCTATCCATTACTATAATTTTAGGGACAAATATCTAGAATCAGTTGGAAACGTAACAACAAAAGCAGACCATGTAGGTTGGTTGACCCTTGATTTGACCAAAGCGGCTGAACTTTGGACTCAATATCCGACAGCAAATCTTGGTCTTTATATGAAAATTAAATTCATTAGAAAAGGTATGTTTCGTTATGAGATTGTGAATATTTTATATATTATAATATATGTTTGTATGCCCCCGGCGTAGCGGAGGGGGCATTCAGTTTTACCCTTGTCCGTCTGTACGTCCATCCATACATCCAAAAGTTGGTTTCCGTTCCCTAACTTTAGTTTGCCAGAACCAAATGTTATGAAACTTATACACAATGCTTATTACCACAAAACACAGATCAAGTTTGAATTTTGGTGGCGTCACTTTAACCGTACTAGAGTTATGCCCCTTTACAAATGGAAAAATTGCTGATTTTTTTGTTTCCGTTCTCTAACTTTAGTTTGCCTCAACCAAATGCTATGAAACCTATATACAATGCTTATTACCACAAGATACAGATCAAGTTTGAATTTTGGTGGTGTCACTTTAACTGTTTTAGAGTTATGCCGTTTACAAGGGAAAAATTGCTGAATTTTTCGTTTCCGTTTTCTAACTTTAGTTTGCCTCAACCAAATGCTATGAAACTTATACACAATGCGTATTACCAGGTTATACAGATCAAGTTTGAATTATGGTGGTGTCACTTCAATCGTTCTAGAGTTATGCCCTATACAAATGGAAAAATTGCTGAATTTTTCGTTTCCGTTCTCTAACTTAAGTTTGCCTCAACCAAATTTCATGAAACTTATACACAATACTTATTACCACAAAACTCAGATCAAGTTCAAATTTGGGTAGGTCACTTTTACCGTTCTTCAGTTATGTCCGTTTATAATTTTATATGATATCATATGCAAACGGGGGCATCATCTGTGTCCCATGGACACATTCCACATTTATTTAAACTTATTTTGTAAATACATGTATAAATCACTTGATATTACTAGTTATCTTATGTGTGTGGGTGATTCGTCAAAATTACAGTTAATAGCCAAAGGAAAATTTTATCAAAAAGATTTGCAAGCAGCCAGGTAATCCCTTTATCTCGCAATGAGCTATTTTACAGTATAAATACATTGTTCACGTGTGCGCTTTATTTATTCCTGATGACCGTATGCGCTATAGTCCATATGAACGTATGCGCTATAGTCCGTATGATCGTATGCGCTATAGTCCATATGAACGTATGCGCTATAGTCCGCATGACCGTATGCGCTATAGACTGTATTTGCTATAGTCCATATGAACGTATGCGCTATTATAGTTCATGTGAACGTATGCGCTATAGTCCATACGAACGTATGCGCTATAGTCCATATGAACGTATGCGCTATAGTCCATATGAACGTATGCGCTATCGTCTCCTGGTATATTGTTTCTACTCTGAGCGACCGAAGGAATTAAAATCTACATAGTTTCTAAATTGCTGAATTTTTCGTTTCTGTTCTCTAACTTAAGTTTGCCTAAAAAAATGAAGTTATTCTATTTATAGTATAATTGATCACGACAAGAAATGTAGTAAATATCATATGTTAGGAATACCATCTTTTTCTAGGTTCAGAAGTAGATCCGGACAAATTTGGAATCGTTGGGCATAGAGGTGCGAAAAATAGGCAACCCTTTTTAACTGGATTCTTCAAAGCATCACAAAAAGTGAACCTAAGAAAAACACGTGCTGCTGAACGATATAAACGACAAGCTATGCAAGATATGAGTGCAGATCAACCGGAAACACCTGCATACAGATACGCAAGTATGTTTAATGGTGCATAAACTAATAATACAAAACTACTGTTATGTAGAGGACGTGTTTCCAATATTGTGCCGTATACTGTGGATTCATTTATTTTCATGGGTATCAATTTTCGTGGATCGCTGAAAACTTACATATTCGTGGATATTTGATTTCGTGGTTTTGCCAGTCTCTGTATACAAAGCCTTTTGAAAATATGTTATTCGTTGAACATTTGAATTCGTGGTTCACCTGTCCCCACAAAACCCACGAAAATTGGTATCCAACGTATAATAATGAATCCACGGTACTTTTAACGTACAGCAAATATCATGTTCATCTTTTGAAAGACTTGCAATGTTTGATATACAGTGATAATAGCCAAATGTAAATAGTGAAGGACTACATTGCAGTTAAAAGTACACTGTACTAAATAACGTTACATAGATACAGACATTTTGTGAAGGTAAACAGTTGACTATCATGGCTATAAATCGGTTGTAATATTATTGACAAATTTTCTGGCACGTAGCTTCAAACGTGTAAATAACGTTTCATACGTCTACAAATTTATCTAATTTATTTTGAATGGTTTATTTCTATCACAGACTGTAGATTTTAAATTTGTTTCAACTGAGATCAAAAAGACTTGGTCTATTTTAAGACGAGTTTAACTAGAGATAATTTAGAAAATCAATGTTCGCAAGGCATCAAAATATGTGTACCACGAATTCTTCTGTAATTCTGTTTGAATTGTTTGAGTACATTGATAAACGCATAACATTCCTTTCTTGATCAAGCCCGATCATTACCATGGACTCGGAGTCAGAGTGTTTTTTTTTTAATTATAGTATGAAACATCTACCTGCAGACTCCTGTTTGTGTGCTAGGACGTTATACAATGACCCAGCTTGTTTATCTATTACATAAAAAGGACAAAAAAGAATATTTGTATGACATATACATGTCCTAAATATTAATGTTCTATTTGCCGATGCACGTTAAGCAATATCTATGTAATCAAAACTCATTTCAGGATATCCACGACGGATACGACGGTGGCCCTGTCAAAGGAAACAAATGTTTGTAAAATTTAAAGATTTAGGTTGGCAGGTAGGTTTTCATAACTGATACTATTTTTATTCACTGCGATTGAAAAAATCTCAGATAAAGGCGTGTGATTGTAAATTTCGTCACTTAGGTAAAGTAAATATCGTTCCGTTGACAAAAATAAAAAGATGTGGCATGATTGCCAATGACACAACTCTCCATCTGAGACCAAATTACATAGAATGTATCAAGTATAGATCACCGTACGGTTTCAACAATGTGCAACATCGATACCGCATAGTAAGGTATAAAAGGCCCCGACATGACAAATGTAAAACAATTCAAACGATTGATTTATGTAAAAAACAAACGAAAAACAAATATGATGTACAGAAACAAACGACAACCACTGAATTACAGGCTCCTGTTGATATAGTCAAGCGTTTTGTATAGTCATTTGTTAAGGACCTCCCCATTTTTAATATACCATAGAGCTTGGTATTTTTGATATTTCTTTTTTTTAAATGCGTCTCAATTTTCCTATATTGAATTATTTAACAGATATATCATTTAATTCTGTCTCATGCGATCACGTGGAATTCTACTAATATAATTACTGATCGCGAGACTAATAGATGAATGAAGTAATGTTTGTCCTATGATCAGATTATGAACTTAGAGTAAGTAAGATGGCGATAAGGCGGTAGTAATGTGTCCAGAGTACGTCAGGTGGCAATAAGGCGGAGTAATGTGTCCAGAGTACGTAAGGTGGCAATAAGGCGGTGGTAATGTGTTCAGAGTACGTCAGGTGGCAATAAGGCGTGGGTAATGTGTCTAGAGTACGTTAGGTGGCAACGAGGCGGGTAAATGTGTCCAGAGTACTTCAGTTGGCAGTAAGGCGGGGATTATGTGTCCAGAGTACGTCAAGTGGCAGTAATCCGTGGTATAGTGTATATAGTACGTTAGGTGGCAATATGGCCATGGTAATGAATTTAGAGAACGTGAGGTGGCAATACGGCAGAGGTAATGTGTACCGAGTACGTTGGATGGCGTTATGGCGGTGGTAATGTTTTAAGGGTACGTTATGTGGCGATAAGGCGACCGATATGTGTTCATAATCTGTTAGGTGGCGTTGATGTTTCCGAAGTACGCTAAGTTTTAATAAAGCGGTCGTAATGTGTTTAGAGAACTTTAGGCGCCAATAAGGCGACTGTCATGTGATCAGAGTACGTTCGGTGTTAATAAGACAACTGTAATGTATCTGGAGGTTATAGGTGGCGGGAAGGAGGTGGTAATTTGTCCAGAATACGCTGGTTGGAGATAAGGCGTCGGAAATGTCTCCAGAGTACGTAAGTGGCGATAAGGTGGCCGTAATGTGTCCAGAGTACGTCAAATGGTGGTAAGGCGGCCGTAATGTTTTCAGATTACGTTATACGGCGTGAAGGCGTTGGTAATGTTTTCAAAGCACGTTAGGTATCGTTAAGACGGCCGTAATATGTCCAGAGAAAGTTAGGTGGCGATAAGGCGATGGTAATGTGTCTCAAGTATTTTCAGTGGCGATACGTCGGTTATTAAGTGATTTGGATATGTCAGGCATTGGTACTGTAGATGTACAGTTCATTGTAACTTGGTTAATTTGGACAACGGAAATATGAAACATTTGTTAGGATTTTTATGAAATGATGTTATTAATATAACAAGTTAATTTTTTGGAGGACACAGGACAGCGATAACTAGTAAAATACCCGTTTTTCAAGTCTAGTCAACCTTGAAGCTACGATTTGATGAATATTTTTCTAATTTACAGTTGTTTTCTTAAGATTTTCTATATTGTAATTTTGTATATTTACAGAGTTGGATAATTGCACCGGATGGGTTCCAAGCTTTTTACTGCGAAGGGGAATGTCAGTTTCCTTTGGCAGCACACATGAACGCCACTAACCATGCTATAGTACAGACACTTGTTCATTTAATGAACCCTAAACAAGCACCAAGTCCGGGGTGTGCTCCTACTAAATTAGGAGCACAGTCTGTTTTGTACTTTGATGACAATTTGAATGTTGTTTTACAGAAGTTTCCAATGATGATCGTTAAGTCATGTGGTTGTCATTAAGTGCCTAGTGTTCTTTCAAAGTTAAGTACCTCTAAAATGTGGTCTGCTATTAAAATCAAAATGACATAACTTCATTTCATAATTTGTCTTCCATAAAGGTGTACTTGATTCGAACAAACATTCTGTTGATGCAGATTAAAGTTTGTGTATAGGTCAAAGGTTACCGTATTGTTAAGATCACATTTTAAGCAGTAATGTACTTATTTTGTTTTTTTGTGTAAAAATCAATAGAATAACACGAGTTCCAGAAGACATGATTGAAAATTTTAAAATCCAAATTAACGAACACCCTTTATCTTTAAAACTTACATCTGCTAAAATGAAACACATGTTTAACATGCTGATTTACATATGTTAGTTATTTTAAGTTACACTTGGCATTTCACTGGAATATGTAATGTACATGTCTACATGTGTTTTATGTTTAAATCAAGTGCAGATTTTATGATCATATATTGAGCAGTTCATAGGTTGTGAAATTATTTATTATTCTTTTTATGTAATTAGCATCTATATTTTGTATTTCATGCATGGCCAGGCCTGTGAACAACGAATTAATTTTATATGTAATTTAATTTTATGTTCTTCGTTTTATAGCTTTTACTTTAAGTTTATTTTTCCTAATGTAGAATGATCGTATTTGTTCTTAGAGAGCGCTGCCAAACATTGAAGTGACAATTTCTAAGCAACATGGTCGACCTTGTCTCAAGTAGGGTTATAATAAGAATGTAACGTAAACTACTGTTAAACATAGACGAATGTCGCCTGAATAGAATGGGAATGTAATGGTAATGCGCGCAAATGTAATGCGCCTAGTCATTAGCTTTAGTTGACATTAGTGTTACTGTCGCGTCAACTGCTGTTAACTTTGTATTCTTAGTATTAGTTAAAACCAATGAAAATAAACCATCGGCTAATTTTATTGTCTCGCTTTCGACGAAAGTCGAAGAATGCAAGACATTGGTATTACAATCCGGTAGCGGAGGCGTTGGCGACGGCGTAAACTATTTGTATAAAGCTTTATATTTCAGAAGGTAGAAGACGTGGATGCTTCATACCTTGTATGTATATACCTTATGTTACAAAGTTTCCGCCTGTTAAATGTCCAGTGTACTTGACCTCATTTTTTTTTTATCAGTGATTGCTTGAAAAAAACTACATTTTTTTGTCAAGAGAAATACTAACTTATTAAGAGCAATATGATAACTATATTTAGTATATGGGTTCCTTGCAATGTCTACATGTCAGTCAGACAGGGTTCACCTGACCTCAACCTCATTTTGTGGATCAGTGATCAAGATTAAAGTTACGTGGTCAAGTTCGTATCTCAGATACTATAAGGAATAGGTCAACTATATTTGTTGTATGGAATGATTGTAAAGTGTACATGTCTGACTGGCAGGTTTCTTTTGACCTTGACTTCAATGTCATGGTTCATTCGACACGTTTAGTTTTTGTGGTTTAGTCTATTTCTCAGATACTTTAAGCAATAGGGCAACTATAATTGGTGTATGGAATGATTGTAAGATGTACATGTCCAACTGGCTGGTTTCACTTGACCTCATTTTCATGGTTTATTGGCCAATAATATTTTTTTTGTGATTTTGTCAATCTATCAGATACTATGAGCAATAGGTCAATTAAATTAGTGTATGGAATATTGTAAGGTGTACATGTCTGTCTGGCAGGGTTCATACAACCTTGACCTCATTTTCATGGTTAGTTGGTCAATAAAATGTTTTTGTGGTATTGTCAGTTTATCAGATACTATAAGAAATAGGTCAACTATATGTATGTGTTGTATGGTATGATTGTAAGGTGTACATGTATGCATAGCAGGGTTCATATAACCTTGACCTCACATCATGGTTCATTGGTCAATATTATGAATTTGTAGTTTGATCTATTTCTCCGGTACTATGAGCGATATGACCACTGTATTTGGTGTATGGAATGATTGGAAGGTGTACATGTCTGTCTGGCATGGTTCAGCTCGTGACCTCATTTTCTTAGAACATTGATAATGTTATGTTTATGTGATATTTTCATATAATAGTAACAACTTCATATTACAGACTTTCGACAAAAATTAAATCATAAGTAAAGCAGGCGACTCATTTCAGCGTGCGCATTCTTGTTTGAAGAAAGCACCAATAATTTATAGGTTGGTGCGAATTCAAAACTAACGCGTTAAATAAAAAGCTGTTTTCAGTGCTGCGTATTGGGATTGAAAACAGTATTGTAATATTTACTTGTTTTTGTAAAATTTCTCGTCGCAAGACGTATCTAACGATGTTATTCGAAGGACAATATAAATTGCTTCTTCTCGCAGAATGTTGGTTTTGGTTAAAGATGTTTATTATACACTTTTTCGATGACTTCTCATTACAAGATTGACCAATATCTGCCATAATTGCAGTTGTTTGGCCATCTTTGGGTATTTTTAATGAGGTCACAAATGTCATGTTCGAAAATACACCAAAATGTGACACTTGTTAAAACCTTGAAGTGCATATTGCAATTGATGATACTGTGAATTTGAGAATAGATTAGTTGAACGACTTTTAGAAAATGGCCCTTGGTGTAAAAATACAGCCAGGGAAATTGATTCTTCCTCTTTGTTTGTTTGTAATCGAATTTTGCAAAACGCAATAGTTTTATTTAAAGAAATAAAAGTGCTCAAAGATATTTATCCTTGTCAACAATCTTTCAAATGTTTTTAAAAAGATTACGTAAAAAAACTGGATAATTGTTTTTCTTTTAATTAAAAGATGCTGCGATTACATTAGCTGCCGCATTGGTTTTTGGTTCCCGCGCTGAATTAATATTTACGATTTAAATCATATTATGCCAGCAACTGATACTGTATGTTAAATTATAAGCTTTGTTTTTGTAATGTTTTATGTAAATCTAAAACAATCTGGTATAGGAAGTACATGCTTAGATATCAATATCAATTTATATACATGTCATCACGATGAACCCATATATACGTTTAAACATGACGCATTACATCCGGGTATTTGGTTTATATTTTATATTTTTAATGTATTATTGTTATTTTCTTCTGCCTCATATTTGTGTTCAACTTTTTGTTAAATTGTAAATATACTGAATAACATTACACCTGACTGACACAATAGGGGCCAATATGTCCGCAGTTACTGACATCTAAGTCTTTTGGTCTCTGGTGGTTAGTTGTCTCATTGGCAATCATACCACATCTCCTTATTTTCTAAAGAAATAAAAGCTGATTTACCGCAGCTGCACATGGACTATCAACTTCTCGCAGGGGGCGGATCCATGTTTTATTAAAGGGGCATAATTGAAAAAAAAAATAATATAAACTGGCGAGAGGAGCGAGGCGAAAAAAAAATTGACCACTTTATGCTAATAAATTATATATTTTCCATTCAAAGCAGGGGTGCAACAGACATACAAGGGTAACATCACATGTTTTTCGCCTCTTTTTACATACATTCAATATATTTGTAGACCTAATTCACAAATTTTTTTTTTACATACATTCAATATATTTGTAGACCTAATTCACAAATTTTTAATTGACTGAATCTCTGGAAGTATGAAAGCTACATATATAATGTTTTTCGATACTCAGATGAATTTCTAAATGCGTATATACAATTTTTCATCAAAATCTAAAGTATCGTCCAATTACGTATACTTGGCCTTAAACTGAAATCTACATTTTGCGATTGTATTCAATTTGTCTTATAAAATCTACAATTGAATTGAATTAATATTTACGATTCAAATCATATAATGTCAGTAATTGATACATTTGATGTTCAACGAGTTCTAAATGCAAACAAAATGCGAAATATCGCCCATTACATATACTTGGCCTTAAACTGAAATCTACCTTTTATTATTCGTCTTATGATATTGATTGACAGATGATTCATGGAGCACGATTTCATTTCAATCTATATTAATTCAGTTTTACATTGATTACATACCACAAAGAGTACAATCCAAAGATCTGTTTTCATATACTGAACTTTCAATTATAATGGTATTTTTGAACGTATTGTATTTAATAAGTAGTGCCATACAAACTATTGAACTCTCCACATACAACAATTGGGGAATGTTTTTCTTTTCTATGCAGGGTGGATCTAGGATTTATTTAAAGGGGGCGTAGTTCCCTTAAATTATAGAAAAACTGCCGAGGGTAGCGAGGCGTAATTCTTTTGGGACGATTTGATAGTAAAGTATGATATATTTTCCGACAAAAGGGATACGCCCTCTACGCCCCCTCTGAATCCGTCACTGAAATGAATAGTATGTTTATATAAGCACATTTGTTAAAATTTTGTTATGCACTATTTTCTGTTCGTATATATACAAACGTTTACTTAAAACAATTTAAATAAACTGTTTGAATTTCTAGTTTGTGTCTCCATCTTATATAATATATAAAACACTTCATTAAACAAAAATTGAAGAGCTTATTATCTGAGTCAAGATTGGCTTAACCAATTAAGCCATTGGGCCTCGTTCTGACAAGTCAGATAGTATAATCTGTCGAACCTTATGAAATTTAGCTTAATAAAATTGACAACAAATGAGTCGTAAGACAAACAGCTTTATTTACAGTCGGTATATACAAGACAATTGCAAACATGATCTCTGGAGAGTTTTAATACCGACAAAACAAAAGCACACCAGACAACATTTAGAATTTTTTAAAACAAATACACGTACATCATAGAAAAATCATGTACCAGTAGATATAGGGACGAAAAGTACAACCAGAGGTTGCTATTCGGGAATCAGGTCAGGAATTTTCAATTGCATTTTTAAACGCAGTTTATAATATACAAGGGGGCCTCGGTGACCGAGTGGTCTAAGTAGTTACTGTAATCACTAGCCAGTCAACACTGAGGTTGTGAGTTCGAACCCCGCTCGTGCGGGTGCACTCGACTCCAATCTTAATTGACTAGGATTGTCAGTTTTCCTATCGAAGGTCGGTGGTTTTCTCCGGGCACTCCGGCTTCCTCCACCAATAAAAACTGGGCACCACGAAATAGCCCAAAAGCGGTGCTTAAAAGTGGCGTTAAAACACCAAAAAGCAAAATCAATATAATATACAAAATGTGACTTCATGTCCAATGTATTTGACGACTTAAACGAGTGTAACGCAGTGCATTTGCTAGATTAGATATAATCATTGCAAGTTTGTTTGAACTCACATGACACCCATGTTCATTTATCGTCCGCATATTTTACAATAAATCTTTTTTTATGACCTCACTTAGAAATAAGAAGCTGTGGCATGATTGCCAATGAGGCAACTACACAATGTAATATCCAGAATCCAAGCGTAATAATAATAAAAAAAGTACCAAAAAAAATCCCCACAAACATAATGGATAAATATTAGTTGAAGATATCACTTACATGAGTAAAAGCAAACCATTATCAAAGCATGGCTGTATTTACTAAAAATGAACTCAAAGTACTTAAATTGTCGGTATGGATATAATTATACCATTCCGTCTTATATAATACTGTAATATCTGCGACTGCCGTTCAGAGTAGACTTTATACATTGACGTCATATTAATACAGGAACACATGATGTAATGAGTTGCGATGAGTAACTACATGTATGTACAGAATTCCAATGCTGAAAGATCAAAGAAATATTGAGTCTTGTTTCAACCTATATTTTATCAAGAAAGATGTTACATTTCTAGTCCCATTTTTTTAAAATGTAATGATGGTCGATGATCATGTTATTTTCAATTGCTTGCTAATATATATTTTAAGAATTTTTTACATCGTCAACTATCTAAGTCTAAGGTAGACAATAGTATTACAAACACACACAACACAGACAATTATATGCTAATCTTTGATCTTTTTCGGATAAACTTTTGAATCAATGAAAATTTGTTCTGCATACATGTATGAGGGTGATATTGAATTTCGATTGTCGAATCCACACTCCCGTCCTTTTTTCCCCTCGAATATGACATCACTGAATGAGACTTATTTCCGAATTTTTTACTTACATGTGTTTCACGACGGGTGCCACATGTAGAGCAGGATCTATGATCCTTGAAGCACCTGAGATAATACGATAGGGTTCGTGTTGCACAGTCTTTAGTTTTCTGTGTTGTGTTTTCAAGACTGTTGTTTGTCGTGTCGTTGTTTGTCGTTTTCTGCTGTACAACAGTACGTCAAAAGAAAAACCTTACAGATTTGAAACGATAGTTTATAATTTGATTTCATAACGACAGTGTTGTCCCGAATAGTTACCTATTCCGGCTTACACTTCCATTGAAAGGATATGGGGAGGGGGTCCTTAATTTCTTTATTCTTTGAATTTTAAAACATTTTTCTTTATCTTTAAAAATAACGCTTATGCTGTAAAATTCTCATGAAAATGTATTACATTTTTATATCCATTTTGTAGTTAGATGATTTGGTTATTTTGTACATCGTTCATTCCTGTAATCAGTATGTCATTACCTCATTCTTTTGTTTTCAACAATTATTCTTTATATTTTTGCACCCCATTAGTCTCTATTCTTTATATTTTTGCACCCCATTAGTCTCTATTCTTTATATTTTTGCACCCCATTAGTCTCTATTCTTTATATTTTTGCACCCCATTAGTCTCTATTCTTTATATTTTTGCACCCCATTATTCTCTATTCTTTATATTTTTGCACCCCATTATTCTCTATTCTTTATATTTTTGCACCCCATTAGTCTCTATTCTTTATATTTTTGCACCCCATTATTCTCTATTCTTTATATTTTTGCACCCCATTATTCTCTATTCTTTATTTTTCTAACTCATTTTTCTGTTTCCATTATTCTATTTGGTCTTTGTTCTCTATTCTGTAAACGCCAACCCGAACTCCTTTATTTGTTTTGTTATTTTCTCTCTCATTTTGATATTTAACATGTCAGTATAAATTGAATAGCCTATTTGATGGTATATGCTCTTTATTTATTTTAACCTATAATTTATAATACAAAGTTGGGGAACTTTTACCCGATCTTTTTATGCTTCAAACATTAAAACATAGTTTATCCGCAGATCTTGCAAGGATCATGGGGAGTTTGGACAATTGTTTTTAATTTCAAAGATTTTAGTTTTTGATTGTCTCATAAACATCTACATGATTTCACATTTGTATATAATTATGAAAACTGTCAGCTAGTTTAAAAACAAATAAATATAGTTACAAATGTTTTCGTTTGTACATATTTCATGATTATCTTATATCCTTTTATCTAACCGTGTAATAATTACAAATCTCAGTCATATTTATCAACAATTTATTTGTTTATCATATGATTTATATATCAATGTGTGTCTCACGTGATAAGTTGAACGAGAAAAGAATGACAAACACAAAATTAACAAAATTACAGAAATTCTGTTTTATCGGAACATTTTAACTGCACCAACACATGACACATTATCAAACGTTCAGTATGGAACTCAAAACAACAGAGGTAAGAAAGAAATCAAATAGTTTATTTTAACATTTCGAGTAAAAAAAAAATCATAACTAGATTTAAGAGAGGAAGTATGCAATCCTTACCCTTATCGGTGGAAGTACCAGTCGTTTAAAATACCGAGTTCAGTGTACGAATTAAGAGGCACTGTGCAATCTTTTTAGTGCATGGTTACAAATTTTGTCTCAAATGTGAAATTAAACGGGTTTACTTTATTTTGGACCATTTATTGATTAGCATTTTGATTGTTGGTTTTGATTTTAAAATGATGTTATCTATCAATCTATTGGGGAGAATGAAACTCGACCACGAGTTCGACCTAGTTAGGATAATTTTCCAAATATGTAATAATTATCCCACGAGGAAGCGGTGTGTCAGTGTCAGATCACCCCGATGGCCGGAGGATAGAAGGTGATCTTACACTGACACACCAAGTCCGAGAGAGATAACTATTTTACATCCCAGTTCTTCTAGACTATATGAAAAAAACCATTTACGCTTCATAACACCTAGTTCAGAATGCCATACCATAATTATAAAATACTTCATATATTACTATATAGTATATACCCTTTATGAGCCCTGGATACAATATTTAAATATATAAATAACACATAGCTGAGAGGGTGATAGAGCAGATTGTTACCCCGAGAAAACATTATCAACTGAGGCGAAGCCAAGGTTGACAATGTTTTTTCGAGGGGTAACAATCTGCTCTATCACCCTCTCAGATATGTGTTATTTAATTTATTATACTGAATGTTCTGTTATTGCTGTCGATTAAATTTCAAATTCAAAGTAATAAACTATGACGTCTTGTACATAACAACCATCCGTATTTAATAAAGCGCACACTTGATCAAGCGTCTCCGTGAAGGGTAATAGAGTATTTGCCATAGGATAGAGTCGTATTTAATAAAGCGCACACTCGATCAAGCGTCTCCATGAAGGGTAATAGAGTAAATTAACACCCTCGTATTAGCCAATCAAAATATGGCATTTTAACGTGAAGTATATAATGTTAAATTAACAGTGAGTTGGTATTCAGTCGTCCTGGTGTAGGGTTATGAATCATGGCTTCATATGCTTAAGGTCTTGAATTCGATTCCCCGCATAGACACTGAATATTAGTGAATTTTTTCTACATAAATTTTAAAAGTTAGTCTTTATTCCGCAAATATATTTCTAAATTTGATTGTGTTCAACATTCCCGCCAAAATGTTATAGAACAAAGAAATCATGCAGAACAAAGAATCTCAAGGTAGGGTGATCCGACTCCGATCACCCTTGTTAGAACAAATGAGCTGGTATGTAATTAAGCAAATAACGAAGTTCAAATTGTATTTTTACTCGTATCGTAAATGTATTTCATGCAAATTTTTAGGTTTAGTAAACATGTACAACTCAATTACATCAACTTAACAGACGGCATGTACTTGTGAATTTAATAATTGAAAACAATAGATTCTGACTTTTATGAATTACAAAGTTTTAACTTGCAATCAGTAGCAATGTTTGATGGTTAAAAGGATAAAGCTTAAAACATTGTTTTAAAATTAGGTTAAGAACATTGCCAAATTTTCATGGGTTAAAATAACTGTTTTGAGGCTGATTTTGATCACTGATCAATCTGATTAAAATACAGATCCTCTATCCACTCTTCACTTATATAAGGATCTGACAACGCTACTTTCTACTTTCTGTTTTGGTAATTATGATATCAGTCATTTAAATTTCCAGTCTACAGATTTTGTTAGGTGTGTATAACTTTAATAAAATCAGAGGATCCCGAATGGTCTTTAAAACAGAAATTAGAAAGGATCGTTGTGAGATCCTTTTAGCAAAGTGTGGACAGAAGATCTGTATTCTAATCAGACTCACTGGCGTAGGAGAATGGCAAACAGGGGTTAAACTCCTTTTTTCGGTGTTGTGAGGTAACTAAGTTTTGAATAATGCAAACTGAAATTGTTCAAAGTATCCGTTGTAGAGAGGACGCCCTGTTGTTTTAAATTGTATCCCTTCAACTTGTTAATTTTTATTCACATTGTATAATTATGATCCAGAATAGGAAGCTTTGTTTTAAAGACAATGTTCTTTCTTCTTGATTACATGTGTTACAAAAATGTACCATTTAATATATGTTATGCCTTTAAATTGCTAAACATTATTGTCTGATTGGTTGTCAAGGTAAATTTTCGAAAACTACACGGAATACTCAGTATACATACACTATTCTTTTCCCATTTATAAAGGTGCATAACTCTAGAACGGTTAAAGTAACGCCACCAAAATTCAAACTTGATCTGTGTTTTGTGGTAATAAGCATTGTGTATAAGTTTCATAACATTTGATTGATATTTCAACTGGGAAGTTCCAGAAATTGAAAAAAAAATATAACTATATGACAAACAATAGAATAATTCAATTCTTTTAAAGGGACGGATTTTCAAGATCCAAAATTACAGTTTGCAATCCATATGTGTTTTAAAGAATTGTAAGGAGAAGTAAACGATGTGTCAGACATTTGTGTAGTCATTTCCATGAAGTTGAATTATAAATTCATGCACATTAATATCATGAATATGATAATTAATATGCATACATTACTTTGATGTTGTGTAAAAGAAAGACAAAATGACAAATATGACTGTGTTTACTCCACCAAGTTAGCTCTGAGTACAGACAAACATGTGCACATGGAAAAGTTCTTTTTCTTTCTACGATTTAAAAACAATTACTAAAGATCTTAGAACTTTTAAAATTTGTAAAATATTACATACTTTTATTCCTCATTTTCAAACCAGTAATGATATAAGAAATAATCTTATTGATAATATTGAAAAAAATATCATCCTTATTTAAACCATCGTGTTATTTAATAAATTATCTTATTTTTAGTGTCGTTGACTATGTAAAGCTAGCTTTAGAATTGCGAATTTCCACTTTGGTCAATTATATAAATTTCATGGACATTAAGTATGTTTTGCCATGGATGAACTGTTTTGCTTTTTATTTCTTTATATGAGTCTGAGAGTTTTCTTTACGCAAGAAAACCATATTATTAGATTGTTCCTTTTTTTATTGTTTCAACTGGATACCTATGCCGGCTGGGTTTCAGCATACACATCGTACAAACCGTCACACACGTAGTGAATGGTAAAACGAGTTGAAACCAGTTACATCCAAAGAGTATGACCTCCTTTAATTAAAGCAATGCATGCAACCCTCTTCGCGCGATTCCAAATTCATTTCCAGTACTGAGAATCAGTGTCAGAAGAATATGCCAATTAATGTATTGCACACGCCATTTTTTATTTGAATCATCTAAACTTTGGTGAATAATTATATTACATGTATCAAGGATTATATAATAAATTTCAAAATCAAATTGTGTTTCTTAAAAAAATGCAACATATGACTGCATGTGCTTCCCATGACATCGTAACTACAATTTTAAAGGAAACAAACGAAAAGCTTGATATATATGCAATGAACATATTGTTTTATACTGCAATTTACGCTCGGCACTTGAAGCTTTAATTGTTTAAATTCAAATAGTTGTCTCTGAATTTTCAAAGAAATCGAAATAGTTTAAACGCGGACCGCGAAGAGGACCCCAACATGAACTGTCACGCAAAAAAATATTCACATTACCGGTTGCTCAACATGGATGCGGGGTAACGGGAGACTTTATTTGCACAAGTAGAAATATTATGTGTACAATATTTGGCTGATTGCAGGATAAAAGTTATTTCAAAGTTTTAACATATAAATGTAATTATAAGAATTGAATTCGTCTTTTTATTATTTTATAGGGTTGTAAAAGCGTTGATCGTGCGCACAGTTTAGTTTGAAGCACTTTCGCGCTTCACACAAAATGTGCTTCGATAAATGCTTTTACACCCTTATGAAATTACAAAGAGAAGTAATCAATTCTTAAATATTGTTAAACCTAAACGTAAGAAGATATGGCATGATTGCCACTGAGACAACTATCTACCAGAGACTAAAGACGTCATAGGGCAATGTTTGACAGATACATGTATGATTGAACCGGTTGCTTTTCTTCTAGAACTCAGAACAACAGTATTTTAAGACCCGTATTGGTTTGATATGCTCATGCTTGGGTTGTGTTGTTGGAACAGGAAATATATGGAGATTTCCAAGAATTGTTGCAAATAATAGTGACGAAAAAGGTAATATAGCCTAGCAGATTAGATACTAGTACACAATTTCCTTAAATAACCCTGAATTAGAAGTTTATGCTTATTTATAAATTTCTCTGCGTTGGATTTTTATATCAAATCAAAAGGTATGATTGTTTTAATAAACTACAAATTCAATATTTGGTATCGTGTTTAATACAATAAAACAAGTAAAAACATCCAAAGTGTTGAAAAGAAATTATGCAAAATGCGTCTGTATCAACGAAGCCAAGGCGAGAATATTATTCTTAAAAAAATACAGATTTTGTTTACCTGACACATTTCAACTTCAGTGTTAGATAATTTTGAAAAGTACTTTGAATCTGTACTTGTTGATTGCGAACATTGGAAATACCATGGTTAAACCTGGCAGTACATGATGCTCTTTATTTTGCAAATGTTGCATGTATAATGTGTAAGATTGCATGTGTATATATTCCATACGAATAAACCCTGCCTGATTCTGGATCAGATTTTCAAAGAGCACACAAATTAATAGGCTGCAGGTAAATTTGGCGTCCTACTCGGGAAGCAGCAATTATCAATCCAAAAATTTTATTTTGACCCGCCAGGAACTGAAACTCTGACTTGAAGCGAGGACACTACAACGAGACCCCCCCTTTTTTCCCCGAGGCTACTGTATGATTTTATAACAATGTCACATTAGTACCACATTTTATTTGAATTGTGAAGAAATACAGATATGAAAAATTTTTTGATTGGATGCAAGAGGTAGTGGATTTGGGTTTATAGAATAGAGAATGATCGGCAAAAAATAATAAGAATAGAGGAAAATGGACCAAAGAAATAAAGAATAGAGAATAATGAGGTGCTAAAATATAGAAAATAGAGAATAGGCAAAACGTATAAAGAACAGAAAGAATAGAAAAAACTGGCCTACAAAATTAATGAATACAGAAACGAAGGACCACCCATATAGACCCTCGTGCACACCCCAAACAAAAAAACTAATGAACACAGAAATGAAGGACCCTCCATCCAGACCCTCATGCACACCCCAAACAATTAAATAGTATTGCTGTCTGTTATTATTGGTTGATCAGAAGACTTTATATTTATTTAGTAATACATTATTTCTGCATATTACTCTAATTAATTTATCAATGTTGTAGGCGGTCTTGTATTTTTGATTGTATGGTCTTTATTCCTGTTACTATGGTCCATACCAATGTTACTGATAGAATATGGTACAGGCCGGTACACAAAGAAAGCTATCATTGGATCATTCCAACAATTCATGGGGGAGAAAGGATCCTGGTGTGGAGCATGGATCTCTATGGTTACATTTTTCATATCGTAAGTTTTAATATACAATAAAATTGAGAATGGAAATAGGGAATTTGTCAAAGAGACAACAACCCGACCAAAGAGTAAAAAAAAAAACAAAAACAAAAAAAAAACAGCCGAAGGCCACCAATGGGTCTTCAACACAGCGAGAAAATCCCGCACCCGGGGGCGGACTTCAGCGGGAATCTAGTTATTTACAAGACAGTATGAGCTAGTCCGACATTTAGTGATTGAACCAAATGTCCGCTGGTCTCATTGAAATAGGATAACAAAATTGATTGAGAGTAATTTTGTAATGAACATTTTGAAAAGAAGTAGATTAAATGCTTTTAACATGTTTACTACATGTAGTTCGTTCATAAAATGAATTTTAGCAAAACTCCATACATCCAAGAAAGTCGGCTATTAAATTTCATCTATTTGAACATCGAAAAAGCAAACAATGTTATTTCAGAACGTATTATCTCTTATTTTGTCAACTGACTATTTCTAGTGTACAAATGTAGCCACATGCAAAATAATATTAAAAGATCGTAATGTCGATTAACTGAATATGAACACACCCAATATTGATAAAATTGGGCAATTTGACGTATTTTGTATCCTTTCAGGCCCCGAAAGATACTATTATCATTATTTGTGTTAACTCACATAGTTGAAAAAAGTAAAGCATCCTACGATAGGCGTATACAACTGTTTAGGTCGAAATATATTGAGTCAATTTCTATCTTTTTATCATAATGAATATACCTCAATAGTTATTCCATGCATTTCATGGTAATGTCGTCTTTACACTAAATCCATTGGATGTTGCATGTGTACTGATTGATATGTTAGCCTTAGTTGCATGACTTTTTTATTAGTTGTTATTGTCTTGGAACTAGCTGTCAGTAACTGTGTGAACTCGTAGATCTGTTCTTAGTGTCTTTTTTTTTTGCTGTGGGGATGTATAAGTACCCTGCCACGTCCGGTGTGTGTTTTTGGTACGTGTTGTTTTCTGCTTTGTATCGATGAGTTAAGTCCTAAGCATGTCAACTGAGTTTTATAGTTTGTTTATATGTTGTGCCTGTTACACTGCTATCCAAGGTAAGGGGGAAGTTGGGCGCCCGCAAACCTGTTTATCCCCACCACATTCTGTATGTGCCTGTCCCAAGCCAGGATCCTGTAAATCAGTGGTTGTCGTTTGTTGCTGAATATCATATTTCTTTTTCGTTCATTGTTTTGTACATTAATCAGGCTGTTATTTTTCTCGTGTGAATTGTTTAACTTCTGTCATACAGGGGCCTTTAATAGCTGACTATGCGGTATGGGTTTTGTTCATTGTTGAAGGCCGTACGGTGACCTTTAGTTGTTAACGTCCATGTCTTTGGTCTCCAATGGATAGTTGTCTCATTGGCAATCATACCACATCTTCTTATTTATATATATATATCTTTTTATAGTAAAGTGACCCGTGATAAACACGCAGATTTCAGACGAAACAACGATCATAACAATGATACCTTTGTAAAATCGTGTGCAATATATTATAATGTATGTGACTTTCTTTCTATTTTATCTAATGTATCATGTTAATATTATTTCATTCTAGAGAGTTTTGTGGTGGAAACAGAGAAAGTGGTCTAAAAATAAGAAAATTTACCCTCCCTCTCTTCCAAGTCTTCATTTAAGTATCTTTAAATTTTCAGTTCATTTTCTAAGTCCTTTAATTTTTTGCCAATTATTCTTTATTCCTTAAATTTTAATCCGATTATTTCCGAATGTTTGTCTATTATTCTCTTTTGTGTAAACCCTATTGAAACCTTCATACTAATACATGTATTATTTTATTCTGTAGATGTTATTATTCAGTAGTGTTAGGATGGTGTTTCTATTATGTTGTTTACTGTATAGCTAATGAACTTCCAGACAACGTAGAAGACAGTCGTCAGATATTCAGGGACTATGCAGAGGTAAAATCTATAGAAATACAATAGTTGGAAACAAGCATAGTTGATTCTACGTTGTTCGTTTATTGACTCTCGTAGTCTTCTAGGGGAGAAAAAAAAAACATAGTCATAGTCTTCAAAATATTACAAAGAAGTTTTACTTTGAATATAAAACAAAATAGATCACATCCAATTGGCAAACTTCGGCAGATTCCGCTATCCTGCATGTTAGATCTGCCGAGGTTTGCCGAGTGATCTCATCAAAACACAAGGTTCAAGGTGCACCAGAAAGATAAACAAATCTTGCTTCACTAGCGACATGTGACAAATGAACATCCGGTTATTATTCGTATTCCGTGATATGTTTTATTGTAATGTCATTACCATGCACGAATGTTAGATATAATTCATGCTCATATGTGTCAAATGATGACCATAGATATGTGTTGCAGTAGATTTAATGTAATACTAAAATAATTTAACATACTACACATTTTGAATCGCACCATTTATAACAGATCATTTTTTTTCTAGGAAAGTAAATGGCCTCTATTGACTCATGCTATAGCGCTGATGGTAGCAGGACTGTCGGTTATCAAGGGAGTTAAAACAATTGAAAAGGTCAATTTATTCCTGGTTCCCATCCTACTGGCAATCTTACTATTCACTTTTATCTGGTCCCTTACAAGAGAATATGCTGATTATGGTATCAAGTACCTCTTCACACCAAACTGGGGTAAGTTATATAATTTAACTTCTGATGTTTTGACCAAAAATGGCCGTACGTTGACCACTAGTTTCTTAAATCTACACCATTTTGGCTCTGATCGACGATTTGTCTATAGGCATAATAATGGCATTGATGTTATAAGGTAATAGAAATTCTCGAGTACATAATATTTGGGAAAACCCAAGACTCACGTTCTAGTTGATGTTGTAAATGGAAGTTAAGATTTTTTTTTTTTTTTGCACAGTCATGGTCTACTGTACGCACTATATACATATATCTTCTAAAACTGCGTTAGCGAAGTTCCTTATTTTTCCGCACCGTGTTAGAGAATATAAATTTTTATCCTGCAATCAGCAAACTAACATTATTGTACAAATAACGGATAAACAAATGCATTTTCTTCTTTATATGTACTTTTACAAATAAAGTCTCATGTTACCCCGCTTCCATGTTGAGCAAACGGTAATGTGAATGTGTTTCTTTTTGCATATAAGTTCAATTTGAGGTTCTTTTGCGGTCCGCGTTTAAACTATGCCGACAGCTTCCTAGTAAAAAATAGGATGCGATATCCTCTTTTTAACTCTACAGGAACAGTAAGTCAAACTTCCTAAACAAATCTTTGTATCTTTGTAAGAACTTGATAACGGTCTTAATGGGCTTTGCTCATTGTTGAAAGCCGTACGGTGACCTATAGTTGTTAATTTCTGTGTCATTTGGTCTTTTGTGAAAAGTTGTCTCATTGGCAATAGTACCATATCTTCTTTTTTATATTAATTAATTTGTGGTAACAAAATCCCTGACATAGTATTTCAGTTATACATAAATTAAGTTCATGAAAATCCAAAACGCGACTGCAGACACTGAAAAGTAAACAAATTGTTAAATATATACACCGTAAGAAGGGCCTTAAGGAACATTGGCGTCCAAAAGGGAAAATGAACAATCGGGAACTAAAATTCGTCTCTTTTGCCGTGAATTTTTGTATAGTTTTTCCGGTGTGAAACTAGACTGTTGAAATCTAGAAAAGGACAATTATTGCTGTCTGCATTTATTCAAAGTAAGTTCCTTTAGGTAAAGTTTCCGCAGTAAAATTATAAAATCTTTCATTTAAAAAAAAAAAACAAAAATATCATGAAGGTAATTTTGTGTGATCTTTTTTTGTGTATTGTGTTTTAATTTTTTCTGGTGCCGGTTTTTTTTTTTTTTTTTTTTGGGTTACTCTCGGTATATAAATCATATATTATGTACTACTAATACGATTGGTTTATATTACATTTCTTAATTTTACAGAATCCTTTGGAGAGCCCCGACTTTGGGTCGATGCAATCAGCCAAAATGCATTTGATACTGGAGCTGGTATGGGAATTTTTATTCCTTATTCATCTTTTATGAGTGTGGACAATGCTATAGTGAAGTATGGAATTTTTATTCCTTCGTTAAATAACCTTATAAGGTAAGATATCGTTGCAAAATCCGAAATAGTAGTAACATCGTCTCTGCTACGAGACGCTGACTTTGATGTTAAATTAGCAAAGCGACATCGCCACTGTTTCAGAGTTTGATATCGTAGTTTATGCTATTGCTTCTGGTTCGAATTAGTGATAACTATAATAATTGGTCACAAAATATCAAAATAAACGGACAAAATAATATACAAATGCTATGTCTGTCCCATTCTCAAAGAAGTCAAATGGTGAAATACCTCGACAAAGTTCTATAATCAAGCAAAGAAAGCGTATTTTCCATCAAGGGACAAAATTAAATAATTTCTATCCAAATTTGCGACTGCTACCACTCGTAAAATGGTAAACAGGGATATTTCATAAAGAAGTTACCATTTCATATTTCATTGTATAAGAAATATTTTTAATTAGTTATCAAGTCTTTTTATATGGCCATTAACTTGCCATCTCAACAACAATTTAACAGAATTTCTTTGGATCTACGGAGACTTAGAGCTTGGCAATATTAGGCTGGTTATCTCCCTTGCAACATACGAGTATCTGATTCAAATATGTCATAGACACTTTTTTTTTATTGTTAATTAAATTGAGAATGGAAATGAGGAATGTGTCAAAAAGACAAAAACTCAACCAAAGAGAACAAAAAAACGTATTTTCCATTAAGGGACAAAATTAAATAATACCTATCCACATTTGCGACTCACAAAGCACAACAAAAGAGCAGAAAACACTCCAAGGCCACCAATTGGTCTTTAACACAGCGAGAAAATCCCGCACCCGGAGGACTATTCTTATATTTTTTTGGGGGGAGGGGGGGGGGGGTGTTGTAGGGTTGCTGACTAATCGATGAGTACCACACAATTGGTGTTCCGTAGAATTTAAAATTTCACAACTGGTGTTATTGTAGAAATTAAAATTTACGGAATTAGAAATACTTGATTTTAAAGATTATATATATATTGCCCTTCAAATCAAATCAAATCAAATCAAATATTTCATTATTTCAATCATGGTCCCACAGGGGGCATTTACAATTCATAATTAAATATGACAATATAAGCAACAAACACGAGACATTGTACAGCATATAATGTGACAGATATTATAATAGGCATATTAAAATAACATTTATAATAAAAATACATTATAAGTACTCTTGAATAATTTTTTTTAATTATTTCTATGTCCAGCAGTGCACCTTGTGTTTACATCAGCCCAATTATCATTTAAGATTTATAAGTTAAGATATATATAGTTAGTTCATCTGCAGGAGACACCAAGGAACAATGCTTAGGGACGATGATTATGGATGTACTGTTGTAAAAGATGCAACAGCAGGGATAAGACATTTAAATGTGTTTTGTTTTCAAATAATTGTTATTTTAATTTCTCAAACACGAAGTACAGTTTTATCACTCAGTCATAAAGCGACAATCGTATAAGTTTTAAGGATGTTCGCTTCAACATTACAAGCTTTTTAAAAGACTGTTATTAATTGATAGCATATCAAAAACGGAACTTAAAAAGTAACAAACAATGACAGGTCCGTGCCCTTTTCTCGAGATATAAGTATTTAAAAATTTGGCAGAAAATTATTCTCTCTAGATTTTTCGTACATTTAATATTGACTATAATGATTTTTCTTACAAAAACCATGAAGATTAACAAGGATTTTATAAGATTTTCCAAAAAGGCTTTTTAAACAACATGTAACAACATTAATTTAGAAAAGTAGGGGTTACCAGGCAAAATATTATTGGCACTGCATGGTCAAAAGTCAAAAACAAGGCTAGCGAATATCCTTTATTTGAGAATGATAAAGAGGTTTCGATATGTGTGAGTACATGGTTGCAAAATATATCCCCCTTTTCATCATTAATATCTATGTGTAAGGAGATGCGTTGATACACGTAAGTCAATGCTACATCAACCCAAAAACCTACAAAAGACATCATGTTTTTTTTACAGTTTAATTTGCGGAATGATGATTTATGCTGCAGTGTTTTCTATACTGATAGTTAGCCGTGGTGTTCTGGCAAAGGACGAGTACCTGTCCATCCTTAAAGACAGTGGTCCTGCTAGTACCGGACTTACTTTTATTTGGTAGGTATGTGTCAGGATGATAAATACTTTTTGAGTATTTTATTTTCTTCATAAATCAGCTAGCCGCCAATATTTTACTTGTATGCATTCCCTAGTTTATTAACCCCTACAGACAAATTGACCTTTTGATGGATTTGACAAATCTTTTTGAGCCCCTTTTGGTCATATATCTCCTAACGAGACTTTGTATTTATACATTCATGGGTTTTAAATTATAGCTTTGAATTGCGAGTTCTCGATAAATGTAAATTCAGAAAAACGCTTCGCATGCAGCAAGCTTATGAAATGTCATTTTCTTATTAATACAAATTCCTCCATTGATAAATATTAAGCCCTTTCTTTAATATAAATTCACAATGAAATTAAAAAAAATATTAACTTAAAATTAGCATTCAAATGCGATGCTCGTGATTATTCAAAAACATTCGCTCTTAACAAAACTGACATCGCCATGCCCCCCTCCCCCTAACACACACACACAAAAAAACAGCCGAAAAGACCCCCAACAAAGTCAACAAAAAACTACATAGAAAACAGAAGACTGAGCAACATCAACTTAAGCAATCATGAGTGGTCTCGGTTCACATGTTTGATTAGTTTTTATTTGAATTCTATATTATATTCTTATGGTGATAGCATATCATGACCAACATCTGGCCTTGCGTACATATACATTTCGAGCACGACTTCCTCATACAAACTCAGAAAACAACCAATCAAAATGCAGGATTTGTGGTTTTGAGCTCAAAATTTGGACTGATCTGCATAAAACAACTTAAGTTAAGATATCCAATCGTAGTACTACAAATGTAATTTATCGTACGATATGTTGAAAAATCCGTCCGTTCGGAACTAATCTTAACTAAAGTAGCTTTATGCAAACGGGCGATGATCTCTACAGACATAGTAGAGTGTGAAGACAGTAAGGCTTGGTCTTTAGTTTGCATCGATACGTTATAATATGGCCTTTTATTTGTACTTTATGAATATATATTTGACCATACATGTACATTTTTTATTTTTTAAACATTTCATCTTTCTTGCTGAACTATGAATTTGCATATAATTTATTATAGGATACCTGTCCTATTTTCGACACTGGGAACTTTTGGTCGAGTTTTATCTATCCTATTTTTCACCTGTCTGTCATTTGCTGGGATAACATCACTTATATCAAATATGGAGTTAGTTACCCATACATTACAGGATTTTGGAGGTACATTTTTTGTAATATCTTAATTTCAGTAGGTAATACATAATATTTTGCCCAAAAGAACAAATGGATCAGACATAAGTTGTTCAATAAAATAATGTCGTCTCCAATGCATACATATCTATACACTTGATGTAACATGCATTTAGTTTACATATATCTGACATTAACACACTATTTATTTTTAGTATGAAGATATGCAATACAAATAAATTTGAAGAATCGAATTTTATCCAATAGAATGCGTCTTATTTTTAGAAGAAATAGAATCGAAAAAAATATTCCAATATTATCAGTTATATTGATTGATTGATTCATTGTTGGTTGCTTAACGTTCACTGGCAAATATCTCATGCATGTTCAGGACGAGAACATATTGTAAAATTGCGGGTCACTTCAACGTATTGGACGGCCTTCATTTTACGAATAGCATGATCTTTGTAATCAATATGTATTTTCAATGACCAACTCAAAGAGTGCAAACTTGAAGGTAATCTTTTACAGTTCCTAGAAAATTTGGTACACCTGCCACAGTACTGGTCACTTTTTTGGTTGGTATGATGTCAGCATTGGATATAAATATTTTAACAAATCAGGTATATTTTTTAAAATGCAGCATTTTACAACTGCATCAATAGAGAAACATACTTCTATCAATTTATGTTACCTCCTATACACTTATAGGATAGGAATATGATTGGTTAAAAGCGAACATTTTGAGACCGTGTATATTTAATATTGGTCAGTGGGCGCGTTTTATTTTAATACACGGTTAGTAGTGGTGCTACGTCAGTTTATATAACATGGCGTTTAAGACAAATATGAAAAGCCTTGCTCAGACCACAGATGAAGAAATTGACGGTAAGCGATTGAAAATAAATGCAGAAATTGTCATTGTTGGTATTTGTTTTGTATCGACTAATGGAGTAGGCTCTTAATATTGAAGACTTGATCACTTTAATAATTCAACATATTAAGATAGTCGATAAAATAAATTATATTATCAGATACTTAGAGTAAATAACTAATAATTTTTACAGTATGATAATAGCATTAAATTTAGGTGAATTCCATATTTTCCGAAATGGTGCTAAGCGGGCTGTTATGAAAAATTTATCAACTGCTTCCGGCAATTATTGCATGCCTTTCCGTAAGATTAACGCATGTCATTCCGACGTTACTCGACAAAATCCGGAAAACACACCTCAATGGTACGTTTTCAGTGAAAAACATAACAAAGTAGGTTACAAAACAAATATTAGGAAACAGGAAAATATATTATGTAAAATGCAAAACAAATGATACAATAAATGCATTTTTCAAAGTTTCCGGCATAATTTAGCAAGTTTCTTTACAAATGTTGACCTTTTCAAACAGTGTTCATTATGTTTGATTGATTTGGTTTTTTATTGTCAATATAAAAATATATTATACTGTTGTTTTTCTGCTCTGTTGAGGCATATGATAGAAAGATTTCATATCGGATGTATTTCATTTGGTGTTCGTCGTCCGTAAACTTTTCACTTTTTGAACTTCTACTTCAGAACCCCTAAACAAATCAATATGTTAAACTGTTATTTTTCTCCATTCGGCTCTTTGAATGATATTGAACTTAGGGCTGATAATACATCTGATAATAATTCTCGACGCATGTAAGAGGATAACAACTAAAACAATTAACATTTCTAAGTTTGTCAGTACAGTTCTTTTAACTGTTTTAGATAACTTGCCTTTTTCATTTGACGATTAATCATAAGAAATATAAGTTTGTACTTTTAAGATTCTATTCACTAAGGTTCAGTGGCGTAGGAGTAGACTGCAAATTGTAAGGTTTTTTTGGGGGGAAAGTGAAAAGTGAACAAGAAAAAAAAAACACTTTTCTTCAGACTTATAGTCAAGAAAAAAGTTAATGTAATCTTTCATTTTCATTTATCATTTACAAAAAAGTAGAGGGAACATAGTTTTGCCCCCCTTTTGCCCACGGCTCCTACGCCAATGAGATTATAAGAAATGAAAGCAAACAAACTCACACAATGATATAGCAACGTGGTTTGCTAGTTCTTAAACTGAACAATCTCAGTAAGCTTCCAATAAAACAAATTTGATTTCAACTTGTTATTTCAAGCCTTTAGGAAGTCTGCTCCTCTTGTTTTTGAATTTTTGTCAGATATTCGGAATCCTCTGGTGCCAATAAATATTTTGCCCACTAAGCCCTACTTTTCTTTTCATAATTTTATTACATATAGTTTAAAAGGCCATTTTTAAAAATCTTATAAAATCCTTGTTATTTTTTCATAGTTTTTGAAAGAAAAAAAGGTGCCAATGTTAAATATATGAAAAATCTAGAAAGAAAAAGTTCTCGCAAAGTTTTCAATGGCTTATATCTCGAAAGTAAGCACAAGGACCGTTTATTTTTTCCTGTTTTTTTATTTCCATTATTTATATACTACCAATTTATAACAGTCTTTTAAAAAGCTTGTCATTTTGAAAAAGATGAGCGAACATCATTAAGTTATTTAGTTACCTAGATATAATTTTCATTCCAGGATTTTGTTTGGGGATTTGCATTAGTTATCAATGGAATGATGTTACAAGCTATGGTCATTTTTTACGGAACTGAAAACTTTAGAAAGACTCTTTTCAACAGATTTAGTTTGGACGATTGGAAACTTCCTAGAGTTTGGGGATGGATGATAAAGTAAGACTTAGTACACATAGATTAAGACACATTACTCTTGAACATCAATGTAATAATGTTGTGTAAATAATTTTTAAAAACATATAGTTACACAGTTTAAATTATAATTTTTCGTCATGTGCATGCTTAGAAATCGACTATAACATACGCATTTCTGATTAAAGAGCTATCTACTTGAAACCATGTTTACTTCCTTGAAGGTTTCATTTACGAATTGATTGCTTCTTGTTATATTTTATTGGGGTGTAAAAGCGTTGACAGAAGCACATTTTGTATGAAGCGCGGAATCGCTTCACTTCATATAAAAATGTAAGCACAATCAACGCTTTTATAACCCAATTAAATTATAAAAAGAAGCATTCAACTCTTATAATTACATTTTATGATACAGCCATGAAGATTTTAAAAAAAGTTATATTAAGCTTTTCAATGTGTTATAGTAACATTGTCATGAGTAGCACGTGCAGTCATAGCCGTATTGTATAAAATACGAAAATGAATTATGATACTTGAATGACTCGTGATTGTTTTTAAGCCAATCAAAATTTCGGCGATTCTAATTACACGTACTACATGTAATTTAGTTATTTAAGGAATAACTGTAATAAATTTTCTGTCTATGAAGAAATAACCTCAAAAATATGGTGCACACTGAATAACCCGCATAGCGGGTTATTTAAAAGTGTGCACCACATTTTTGAGGTTATTTAAAATAGACAGAAAAAATATTACAGTCATTCCTTAAAAATCAATTCTAAATTCCATTTTTAAGGAGTAAATCATAAAAAAAAAAAACGTTGATGACGTCACGGTCACATGACAAAATTATGTCTATGAAGACAAAACACTTTCAGCCATTCAGAAGACGTGTTACATCCAAAATTAAATTTTATATATATAATGTTACAGCGAATTTGGGATTTTGTAAAATCACTTGTATAATCACTGAACTGATTACTGATTTTATAAAATCCCTGATTTTGAATAGGGAGTTTACCAAATCACTGAAATAATTAAAATGTTTTTTTACAGATTCCTTAATTAAATTCAGGGAATTTGTAAACAAAAATTATTTTTGATTAAAAAATTCTTTTAAAAAAGCCTACAGAAGTTACATTTAGCACGTTTGATGTTAATTTAGCCTTTTATATCAATACTAAGTGTGTGAATGCAACTTCGTGTTTTACATGTAAAAAAACTGTACATGCTTTATGTGGAAAATTGGTCATAACAGAAAAAGTTTCCGTCAAAAGTAATGATACAGAAACGGTCATTGAAAATGAACGTGCAAACGCTTCACATTCAATGGAAAAACAAGCCATCGTAACTATGTTAAGTCGATCTAATACAGTTTTAGAAGAAGTAGACTTTGGATGTAATGTTGTTATTCCCATCCCAGTTGTTGATCGTGGAAAGAATGATCCAAGTAAAATAATGGCAATTGTCCATGGAAAGTCAGAGAAAGGAAATCGTCTTGCTACCAAACATGGTATTTTGTAACCTGTAGGGTTATACTCTAGAAACCAGTGTGGACCACTGATTCCCTATTTTTTAGTCAGTCAGCTGTATCTTGACTATTTCATATCTTTTCGACCAGCAGTTAAGCTGTCTTCCAGATGTGATCGACACAGTTTTTTTTTTAAATGGGGATGTTCTGGAAAGAATAGATGTGAACAAAAATAGCCAGTCGAAAAGCAGGGCAATTATGTAACAGTAGATGTCACCCAAACTTATCATGCCAAATAAGTAAATTGTAGTCTTAATATCAGGTCATATGCCAACAACAACAGACAACAATCGGAAATTTCATTATATGTAATTGAATCATATATTGAGTTCGATAAAAAAAAATAGATATCAAACAATTATGATACGTACAATATTTTGAAATCATTGTGTATAAAAAGCACTATAATTGTGAATGTAAATCTATCTTTTTTTCTCTAAAAATACGACAATAGATGATTAAATCCTACATTTTTAAATCGTCTCTTTCTGTACCCATTATCTAACTTAAGTGTTATGAAATATTATTTACATTAAGTTACTAACATGTTTTACCTTAAGTGAGTAACCTTATTTCCCCTAAGGGCGTTACCTTATTTATCTGAAGTTAGTAGCATTATTTACCTTAATTTTGTAACATTATTTCCTTAAGCGCGTTATCTCATTTCATTTAAGCGCGTAGCCATATTTACTCTAAGCGCGTAACCATATTTCCCGTAAGCGCATAACAGTATCTCTCTTAAATGAGTAACATGTTTACCTTAAGTTAGTAATATTATTTACCTGTAGTTAGTAATATTATTTACCTTAAGTTAATAATATTATTTACCTATTTAGTTATTATATTTATTTAACTCAGTAACATTATTTTCCTTTAGTTATTATATTTCTTTAACTTAATAACATTATTTACCTGTCATTGTCCTCATACAATCTCTTACAGGTTTGTTTTGCCAGTTGAAGCTATTGCTATCATTGTATGGTGGGCCGTTGACTTGATTGACGGGACAACCGGTGATGGTGAAAAGTGGTATGAATTTGGACGAGAAACATTTGTTATGACAATTCTTCAGGTAACACACAATTTTTCCAAGCCTTTTGAAGAAGAAAAATATTATATAGAAATAAGAAGATGTAGTATGAGTGCCAATCATCCATCCAAGTCACAATGTGTAAAAAGTAAACAATAATAGGTCAAAGTACGGCCTTCAACACTGAGCCTTGGCTAACACCGAACAGCAATTAATAAAGAGTCCCAAAATGACTAGTGTAAAACAATCCAAACAGGAAAACCGACGGTCTAATCTACAATGTATATGAAAACGAGAAACGATAAACACTTATGAACCACACCAACAAACGACAACCACTGATCAACAGGCTTCTGACTTAGGACAGATGCAAACAAAGATTGTTTTTCAATATCATGTAGAAAACTTGCCAAATTGCATGGAAAGATTAAAAGAGACAGAACAGATACATTGATGTCCCTTAGAAATCTATAATACGATCACATAGTTTAAAATACCATTGAATTTCATAAATGATCAGTTTACTTAAAATTCCTCAAATAGAAAAACAAATTGTACCATAGCCTGACAGAAAAAATGTATAAGATGATTAAAGATCAAATCAAATAAAAAACAGGAAAAACATCCGAAACGAGTACCACTAAAACTACTGAACACTCGAAAATTCGTATGGGACTCTTTAATGGTCCTCCACATCCTATTATAGTAAATTAATAGCAGTTTTAGGAAATGTTGCATACGAATGAAACTAACAAAATTGAAAATGCAAATCATTTTCTCAATAATAAAAACATCGCTAAAAATTTCTGAGTTAACAGTATATCACAGAGAGTTACATACTTGTACATGTAGCTATAGGTTATTGTCTGCCGAATCTTTTATATTTTACTCGATCACTTCATTTTTTTCTTATTTGTATTTGGTGTCCTGTGAAATAAACATTTTTTTATTCAGATAATACTTATATAATATATATAATAAAATATAAATAGAAGACGGTTTAGTTGTTATTATCGTAGCGTCCTGTGGAACATATATTTCATTCTTTCAAATTTTAAATTATGGTCATGAAAAATGTTGTAAAAGTCTAAAATGTCAAAAAAAATCCATGGTTTTACCAGTAGTCGGCACTTCTGTGTGGACCTGACATGTTATTTTGTGTAGAAAAAATGCCCGTCTGGCGTACACAATTATAAGCCAGGTATCTTTGATAAGTTTTTTTTATGTTTTACTAATTTTTTTTCAGTGGGGCAGCTTGATGTTATTAGTGATCCTAGTAAATTGTGTAGTTTATTTTTACCGACACAAGGAACCAGCATTAGACAAACGACCGATTCTAGATGATGTAGACACAGTGATGACTGATACGAAAACTCCCGAGAAACAAGGATTATCGAGCATGTCCGAGTCATATAGATCGATTCGTTTGTAAACATTCCATAATATTCATATTTGAATATATTTTCATATGAATTATATTAAAGAAATCTAAATGAAACACTCTTACTGAAATGGTAATATTTTAAATATTATACAAAAATGAATTTACCAAAAATATGTTGTTATTTAATATACTTTTATGTGTTATATCATATGTTGCACACCATAAATGATGAATATACAAGTTTTATCGAAATACTATAGTTTTGCCTAAAACATGCCATTGGATAGTTATGTCAGATTTACTTGTTCGTTTTAGAGATACGGTATATCTTTGTTTGTGACGTTCCACAAGGAATATTTTTTTCATTGGGTGACTGTCTCATTGACATATGCAAATGTACCTCTTATCTCCTTTTATTTATTAATATTCGAAGATCATTATGCAATTATAGTTCAAACATATTAATAATACATGAATATGCATAGATAAATTTTTTTCGGTATATGATTTCTTCAATAATAAACCAAAAATTTGTTACCTAAAAAGCTTCTTTTTGCACGCCCCTTTTTATTCAAATACATACATAGGTGTTACTTATTACGATCACTTTAATCACTTTAATTACTTTGATCACTTTAATTACTTTGATCACTTTAATTACTTTAATCACTTTAATTACTTTGATCACTTTAATCACTTTAATCAACACTATGCTTCATCTTTTAAAACGACGTGCTTTCTTAATGAGATGCGAATAAAGTTGTTCCAAACGTTATACTACCTGAAACCACTTAAAGATGACATATTGTACAGATACATGTATATTGTTAAGTACTGTATATTACACTCTAGATGCCTTTTGGTTATTTTCGTCATTGGGTTGCTGTCTCGTTGACGTATACATAACCATCTCCTTGAATTTGTCAACCTACAGAGATCATATTACAGTAGTGCATACATATCAATAATACATAACAATGAATTTTAGTCCGCTGATGTAAAAATGTCATAACAAAAATGACAAACTCCAAGATGTTTTTAAGACGTCCATAAAAGCTGACAAAACTTAACGTAATTAATAATTCCTTCAATATACAGAACTGTTTCTCTACTTTTACTTATCTTGTGACAAATGATATAATTAAAGAAAACAAATCAACAGTTATATTTCATAATGGCAGGCTTGTTATGTTGCCAATAAACTATTTACATATTACAGACTTTTGACCGGAGTTTACATTTGTACAACAGGTTATCCGTGGTAGGACATCATGGTACTCGGTCAAGTAAGAGCGACCGAAAGAATAAAACCAAGCTTCTAATCGGTACAGTTTTGGGGAAAAAAATACTGTTTCATGTTTTCTATAGACGACAAAATCATCGGAAAACAGCAAAGTATCTCCCTAAATTGCACCGACAATATTTGTTTATTTTACTTCTGTTGGTTGCTCTTACTTGACTGAGTGACAGGACGTCCTACCACAGAGTAGGTAACCTGTCGAAAACTTATACAATTCGGAGTCAAAAGTCGGTAATATGAAAATAGTCTATTTTTTGTTCATTTTTTTTTATTTTGGCCATGATGTCTGTTTTTATTCAACATTTATATTGCGATTGCTATTCGTTTATAACGACTTTAATTATTGTTCGTCGTCCGATATTTTGAGGGGTAGAATCCATGGTCTACTTGGATGTAGCTAAGTTAAACCGACATTATGAATTCAGGAATTTCTGGTTATAAGATTTCGTCAATAATAAACTAAAAAGTCACAATTTTTTACTTGAAAGCCGTCTTTTTGTTATCCGTCTTTCATATTCAAATATCAAAAATAGCTGTTACGTATGACGATCGCTTCATTCAGCGCTATGCTTCATCCTTTTTAATGGCGCGAGTTTATAAGGAAGAGGAGTAGAGAGTCGTTCGAACCGTTTATTTTATTTTGAAAAGCATATGCTATTTTGAGTATTTTAAAAATATAGCATCTTTATCCTTCTTACCAAAAAAGAACAAAATGCTTTTCTCTATATTACGTCATGTTGCATGTAATATCTTCCAACATTACCAGTAGCCAATAGTCTCAATATCGTCCGGTCCTCTTCTTCCTCTATTATAATATTACCGAATGCAGCACCAACAATGTTATAGCCAGGAGTAACAAGACGGGTGCTAACACTAGAGCAGATATTGCTTTATTATAGCAGAGCGCATGTTTTAACCTCATGTTGTTCTTTTTTACAAGATTTCTATGTAGTGTTTTGAGGAGTGTATTGTGTGTTCGTAATTATTCGTATACTTATTTAGTATTAACCCTACAGCGTAACCCTTACTAAGGGCCTTGGCAAGTATTTCATGCATGATCAGGACAAACAATTTATAATTCGATAGACATATTGTATGTCACAGGAAATAAAGGCAACTAATCTAAACGGATACAATGTTCGCATTCTAACCGCACGTTTCTGCGTATTAAAATTTGTATTCATCCTTATAAAAACAATCATATTTCTATAAACCCAAAACACCCATTGAAAACAATTCTGCAAATTCGTGTGCTAATATGAAAAGATAGATAAATATAAAAATAAATATTAACAAATTAGTTTTTTATCTTAAATATTGGAAATGTTTTTATGTTTAAGGGAATATTGTTGATTGCTTGTTTGTCTAATCATCTTAAATGCTTTTGTAAGATCTGACTCTGTAATACAACCTGCAGTTTAAGTGGACATATTTTGCAACTGAAAAATCATCATAATAAATTTTCTGAGGTTGGAGCATAAACCATGAAATAAATGTCAAAATGTTTGACAAAAAAATCATCATATATCTTATAAACCAAACACACAACATTTTGTAAAACATACTAGTAAAAAAGCAATGAATAAAGTAAGGTATACCCAAAACAAGTATATAGAATTGATACATGTAATAGAAATATGTGTACACATTTATATTCAACTCATAAGTCGAAATAAACTGACAACGCCTTGGCAAAAAAAGAAAAAGACCAAAAGACAAACAACTGTACACAAAACACAACATAGAAAACTAAAGACTGAGCAACACGAACCCCACCAAAATCTGGGGTTGATCTTAAGTGCTCTGGGAGGGTAAACAGATCCTGCTCTACATGTGGCAACCGTTGTGTTGCTGATGTAAGTACAAACCAGGTGACAAATCTAATTCTTATGAGATTTTTGCATGACATTTTCAAGGAATTTTGGGTTTTTTTTCTGTTTTTTTTTTTAAACTATTTGCTCAACTAAATTGAATAATCACAGTGAATGGCTTGAAGGAATCCGATAGAACGTAAAAAGAGCACAAAATGAGCGTATTCGTTTAAATATCAATTTGGAATATAAGCATGCACAATTTGGGAGTAAAAATGCATAAAAGACTAGTCCAACACTACGAAGAAAATGACTAAAAGGCGAGACGACTTACTTGTTAATCTTTATAATTTGTAAGAAATAAGTAATCATGCCTCACTCTATACTTTAAAAAACAAGAAACAGGTGCAGTTTCTGCACTGTATAATGTCGGTGAATGATAAACAAATAAGAAACAGCTCTTTGCACTGTTTATTTCTGATTAGAAACAAATTATCTGATAGAAAGCAGATTGAATGTTTTTTTTAATCTTGTATTATTTATGTTTTGATATTAAAATGAATCAACACGAAAGAAAGGAGTTATATCCTAAATTATATGATATACATGTAGTTACATAAATTAATGATTTACTGCCAATGTGCCAATTGCTTTTACACCCAAGGTGAAATATTCCTTGCATATTCAGGAAAAGATTATATTAAACAATAAATCAATTTGTTTGTTAGAAAAAATGGTCGACCAGTATGAAGGGTCGGTAATTATGATTGTACTTCGCGCAAAAACATCTGATTGGACTTTACTACCGTATATAGTTGGTTATAAGTCTCTGAGAGTATCATCTATCCAGTATACAGTGCTCCGGTATTACCATAATGTTGATGATTTTAACATTTTATCTGATATTTCCGGTTCGTTGATGTACTAATTTAATAACTTTGTTCATAATTCCAAGAGTATGACGGTTTAAAAATTTTATGTTCTGCCTTTTAAGTTATGCCCTGACATGTGTGTTTAATTGTCGAGTTTATGTTCGCACGGAAATTGGTATCTGCATCATTTGGCTGCCTGAATTCCTATAAGCTTTTTCATGAGAGCGAGAAATATTAGGTATGAAAGGATTTATTTTCACTTATTCTTGTTATTTCTTTTCTAAATTAAAGTGAAAACTATATAACAACTAATACCGCAAAATTGTAATGTAACGGATATATGGCGTATGTACGTACGTCAAAGAGTAAACAGCACTTCAATATTAAAAAAAGCAAAAGACATATAGAGTGCACGTGCATATACATGTATGACTCGAAGGTGCGATAGGGACGCGGAAGTGTGATGGTCACGCTGAAGTGCGATGGTCCGCGCCAAATTACGATGTTTTTTTTTATATGTAGAACTCGGATGTGCGATTAGGACAATCTAAGTATCTTTCCTCTTGTCATAGTATCAACTCTTTAAAATATAAGTAAGTACATTTGAATTCTATTAATAGATAACAAAATAATATCCCGTAAACTCTACTTATTAGATAATTCATCAAAATAAAACCTTCATAACATGGTTAATACGAGTAAAACACGTTTACAAACTAATGCAATAAATTAATTATTTACCTCACATGATCAAAGACTAACATCGTTATTTATATTAGTAAATATCTCTGATTGAACAGTAGTATTTAATAACACAGAACTAGATTGCGTTTTTGATCATATCTAATGGATGTATTGAGCATTCTTATTTTGTATAAAATACCGTATAAGATTATCACAACTCTCCAATTTACAGGATGCAATAAAAACTGACCACCACAAAATAGCACAATAGTGTTGAAAATGGCGTTAAACACCAATCAATCAATCAATCATAATTAGGAAATGCAGAGCGGCTGTTTTTAATGTTTATTTTCCCTATATTTAAATAGAAAGCAGCATGCACGTTTTTAAAGTCATATCGTTAATTAATGGTAGTCAGTGATAATCTGCATTTGGTTGCATGTTTTAAAGAGAAAGAATGGTTGTGCTACTGGGATAACAAACAAACGTCTTTGCAACACAAATTTGTTTTTATAGCGTTTTGGAAGCACAACATTTAACTAGAGTTGTTTTATTCATTTAATCAATTTACCAATGAATACTCTGGTTAGGTACATTGTATACTTTTATATTTAACCTGATGTAGTTTGTGTTTGGCCTCGAGCATCACTGAAGAGACATTAACTGTCGAAATGCGCATCATGTGCAGTAAAATTGATACCGTTACTATTATTTCAGATTTGTTTTGATTATTGTTATTCTAGTCTGATTTAAATGATCATTTATTCTTCAGGAAAGACATATTTACAAAACCTCTTCCGTAACTGACATATTGTTTTTAGAAGACTTTTATGTGGCGTTGGAATGTATTATTCAATATTAAATCTGTAAGTCCATTTATCGTAATTTAAGAGTTGTTGTTTAGGATCGCCAAGACTAGGTCAATCACACCAGTGTTACTCATTTCATCACATGAACCTTGTCAGAGGTTGTTTTATGTTACGTCTGAATATTTTATTGTTTTAATTATTGTTGTTGTTTATTTTGTTTGTTTTAATTTTTTTTTGCTTAAAGAGAATTTGTTTTGTAACATGATTTCTTTACTGTATTCAATCTCCTTTATTGATATTTTGAGCATACCAAATTGTATTGATATCGTCCTATTATTTTACCTTGTATTTTGTTTGGTTCATTTTGGCGTGATACTGTTTTCTCACTAACGTTCACACGTCTCATTTTATTGCCCTGGCGTTATATTTTATGTTATACATGTTGTATCTCGAATTAAGTAGCGTTTTATAAAATATATAAAAAATGCGTTAATCTGTATTTAGAAAATTAATTCTAAACTCTACATAATGAAATTTTGTTTTGCTTTGAATGAAGTTTATAAATGTTGTATGTTATTCCGTTACTTCACTTTTCTTAACATCATTGCTGCACGTTTCAATGTGTTGGTGCTCATAGAACGAGTCCACGGGTTGTGGAAGTAACTCCTGTTAAGACTACCTAAGCAGCAATGCTTATGTCACCATGGCCCAAACTTTTCCACACAATCAGCAATACTATTTTTATCATTATCCTGGTCAGTCGTTGAAAACTTCGTTCCATTTTGATTAGCCAATATATCACCTACATCAAGGATAAACATGTTATGAATTACTAATAAATTTTGATATAAATTTCATTACCATTCAGGTGAAGCGATACTGAAAAATATTATCATCGCATTGTAGGTTATTCCCCCTATCTGTACACTGTATATTTCTAACCTCCCTTCAATCAAATTGAGTTCTATAGTTGTACTAATTAACCAATTTGAAAGACTGTTTTTGACAAAGAAACCACATTGTGTTACCCCGCTAATTCAGCCTGATAATTTTTGTCATTATAATACAATCATCAGTTGCAGAATTTCAAACGTTTACGCTAAGCATGCGTGTCTATCATACGCACTTAAACTATTGTATATGTATAAAATTTTAGTTATGTCAGAAACATTGTAAAAACTGAAGAGTCTTGAATTTGGAATAACCCGAATATTATTCTTGATCAAAGGTGTACTTTTTCTTTGCATGCAATTTCACACTTAGTTTGTGGATGATAGATTGAATACGTTTTACCACCATTTGAATAGGGCTGTTTTACTAATGTGTGCAGGTTGATCTTAAATTCCAATATACTAATATCATCGTCTAAAACTGTATCGAAAGTTTCCTATTTCCTTTACTGGATCTGAAATATTATTCTCTGCCACAACACATAATTGCGCTTTGTTAAAAAGTTTTGATTTCAAAGGTTGGTGTTTTATAAGTTTATTCAAAAGTTTTGTAATACATTTTACTGTGTTAGTAGTCTTTGAGAGCATTTCATTACCTGCATTCCCACTGTAATTCTCAAAAGTAAGTTTATACTTGGACACTGCATCTCCAACAACAAAAGTTTTATACACAGCATACTTCTTTTTATTGAACAAATCCGTTAGGTCTATTCTCAGTTCATATTTACCACTGGATGGCAGGCTGTGAATGTGTTTGTTTCCTTTCAAAACATATGATACAGAAGCGTTACAACAAAACACCTCAACCTAATAAAAGGAAGGAAAGGCAAGAAGGTCTCTACATACTATCATATTAAAATGCAGGTAAAAGTATTTGATCTAGCATAATAGGAAACTATATATTATTATTAAATAGTATATGCAACGCAGCATATCTAACTATATTTACAATGTTACTTTTCTTCTTCTATGTTATATTTCCTTTTCACTTTATTTCTACAATGTTGTAAGGGCAGGTAGATATGATTAGGCCTTAATTAAAAAAGCATGCGAGTTTGATATCTCTGTACTTACCTTTCCAGTATTCCTCATCAACATTTCCAAATCTGTTTTTATAATCTATCCACGATCTCTGGAAATCAAGCCATCCATTTATTCTTCTCTGGATAATCTGAAAAAAATTTCACCAAAATCAGTAACCTATTTAAAAACATAAATTTTATATTGTTACAGAAGTATCATTTCAATGTATTAATTTTGTGAGATGGTTCTCTTTGGGGTATATACATTTCATTGGCAATCAAAAGCAAGCGGAGAGTGCATATATACTGTGCGTTATATGTGTAATATTAAAGTGTTTATTATCCATGTTATCGTTGACATAGATTTAATCTTTCATAGGGTAACAACTTTTGGATTCAAAATTACTTTTTTTAAATTGGTTTTATTGATTTATATAATGTCTATATCACTTTCAACTTATCATGTTGTTCACTGGCAACAGCTCATTTTGTCCGGTATCAAATCAGTCTACAATTGGCAAAGGGAATTATCTTTGTGTTAAGTATGTTTAAATACAAAAGAGTCCTTAACCAATCAAAACATCTCGATACAATTCCTAAGACACAATTATCCTACTCTTGTAAAAACATATATCTTCAGATGTTTTAAAATCTGGAGCACAACACCGGGTGAATTTTCTTTCTGTTTTCTTTATATCAAAATGAAAAAAAAATGGGATATATCTTAATCTGCTATATTCTATCTTGATTTAGAAGATGTTAAATATTCATTTAAATGTTTGTGTTCCTGGTTTACAATTATGGGAGTTTTTTTAAACAGTTATTTTGCTGTCTTATCACTCAAAATTAAGTGTCAGTGTTTTCTTAAAAGTTTTTGCCAGTTGTTTAACTCTAGGATTATATGTTGTCATGAATTATAAAGGTATTGATTTCTCGTTATTCTTTGCTTTGTACCGTAATTTACTTTCTCTTGTTTTTCTTATTGTTGTTGTTATTATGGGATCAATTTCGCCTGCAACATAACAATGTGCATTGGTAGAAAATATCAAAGAATATTAACTCAAAATAACAACAGTATTTATATATATCAAGTAAATATTTAAGAGCATTCGAATTCAAACAGTATGAATGAAAGGTTTTTTTTTCTGATCTCTTGGACACTGAACTTGTTAAACATTGTTAAATGATTATATGATTGCGTATGATTCCATATAAACTGACTATTCCGATTGTACAGTACACGTTATATGTTACTGACAAATTGTTCGTTTCTCAATCTAGAGAGATAATGAACATTGCAAATATATCTTTATATTTGAAAGCATCACATAAAAAGAGAACTAGAGGACATCCAAACTAGTCTACGGTTAGCTTTCCCTGTAAGAGTTACTACTATGCAGAGATGACTAGTATACGTATATCGAGTTAGGTAATTGATTATATAAAACAAAATAAATGTACGTCCGATGAAAACAATATCATATATATTACTACAATGGTTAAATTTATAACCCGTAGGGATATGTTTATTTAAATGACCAAAAGGTGTTCATGGAACGTTGCTTTATTTACGAACTCTATAATCAACCTTTCCGTAAACATAAGAATGTGATGTCAGCTGAAATATAGTGCAATATCGCGTGTAAATGAACCATTTACATGATTAATAAGGATTCCTCAGGTTGTTTGTTGCAAGGAAAATTTGCTGCTCTAATCTGCTGATCTAATATACTATCTGTTTTGCGCGGCAGTCTGAATTTCCCTCACTACATCCATGTCACTCAGATTGTAGAACTTATCTTATATGTGTATTGTTAATTTGTTCTTGTCCAGAATATGCATTATTTATTTTACTGCAGTAAAACATTGTGTTTATCTAATAACAGGAAAGCGCTTTTATTTTGTATCCTTAATGGATTTATGAGATTTGAACATCGACGTACACTGTCTGACTCCTTTAGGACTTCAATCGAATACCTTTACTTAGCTTGTTACTTTGAATTATAAGCGATTTATGAGGTATGAACATTGTAAAACTACTGTTGCTTATATTTGAATCTATTATCTGCTAACCAACTAAAAACTAACTAAAATCACTCGTAAACTCGTCTTCTAAAATGACAAACAGATACTGCTCAAAGGTATCACTTGTCAAGGTGGTAATTACATTTTGAATTCCGGTGAAAAAAGAAAAGAAATGATCATTACGAAAGAATGGAATGTATCCGTTGACTCATGTATTTTGTAACAAAATACAATATAAATACGATCGTTGTACCTTCGAGAGAACGATGTCAATTTAACTAAAAACTCTAGTTCAGCAGCATTCTTTCAAACTTATCGTAACAAAGTCTTTAAAGAAAGACTTCAGCACATCAATAATATACCTATTGAGAAATATTCACTTCATACAAAAGTGCTGTCTGATTTATACATAAAACTCTAGAATTACAGTAGGAATATTTAATTCATCAGTTTGTCAAAGTATTCCTGCGTAAAATGCGTTTTCTGCCTATTTCAAGGCGCAATTATGGTATACACATGATACAGTAGACTTAGGCAAATCGATATTATTCCCTGTTCAATGGAAATAGTGATGTAAAATCTCCTTAATGATACCAGGAGTATAATTTAGTACGCTAGGTGCGTGTTTCATTTATATTTAAATCAGTGACACATATTCGCTTATTAATCAATCTGTATAGTGGAATGTGATTCTTATGATACTGGTGGATTTTTCTTGGCTTCCCAATAATATTCTTTCATTTGTTCAATCTTTTATTATTTCATTAACTTTGTTAATCTCTTTCAAAAGCTGACGTAACACTAGCAATGAACAAAAGTCAACCATCAGGAAATATGTACTGAAAAAAAAACGAATGGATAGAGGAATATATTTGGCTTTGCAACTGGCCATTGCCTGATGCTTCAAAGAGTGACTGCAAATGTTACTTGACTTGCCAGGATATATTATTATATTATAATATGTTAATAATAAACACAAAGGTGAAACATGCTACACAGAGGAACAAGTGATCAGTATGCTGGAGTTTCTTATTGACAACATATTTGTTGAATTTGGAGGTAGACTTTTTTAACAAACGGCATTCCTATGGGAACGAACTGTGTGCTTCTCCTTGCCGACCTCTTCTTATTTTTATATGAGTCGGATTCCTTCAGACACTTGTCAAAAACAAGACGATCAAAGAAGCTAGATCATTCAACTTCACATTTAGATATATTGATGATGTTCTTTCCATTAACAATCAAACTGTTTTGATTGGTTCCATTAATATATCCCCCAGAACAAGAAATTAAAGACAACAGACACGGCTTCCTCCGCCTCATTTTTAGACTTATACCTCGAATTTGACATACGCGGTCATCTCAGTACCAGAATTTATGACAAACGAGACGATTTTAATTTTGAAATTATCAATTTCCCCACCTTAGTAGCAATTTACCAAATTCAGCTGCATATAGGATATATATTTCCCAACTTATTCGGTATTCAAGAGCTTGCAGCTGCTACTCAGACTTTGTAAAACGTCACCAGTGTCTGAGTAGAAAGTTGATGAACCAGGGGTATGTCAAAGAACGTCTCTTACTTCTTCTAAAAAAGTTCATCGGAAGGTACCAAGACCTTGTTGAAAAATATTCCGTATCAACTTCACAAATAATACACGATGGTCTTTAAGTATAGATTCTTGGTACTGACGTTGTTTATCATCTTCAAAAAACGTGTTAAAGTATCCTTTTATTTGTCTTTATGCATATTACTTTTACTGTTTAGTCTATTTTTGGTGATATCCATTTGACATGGCTCTTTACTTATACATCCCGTCATTGTATTGTTGTGCTATGGTAAATTTTTGTATTCTTGACTTTCATTTTTGCTCATGTGCTTTGTCTATATACCTTTTGTGTTTCTTTATTACATATGACTTGGCTTTGTACTTATACATCCCGTCATTGTGTTATTGTGCTATGGTATGAACAATTTTTGTATTCTTGTCTTTCATTTTTGCTAAATTAAATGTGTTTCGTCTATATGCCTGTTTTGTTACATATTTGTTTGTTGTTATAGTGATTAAGATTATAACACAATGTTGACTGCTGTATTATAACACAATGTTGACTGCTGTACCCCCTTTTTTTTTTACATTTTTACCTATTATTTTGTTCACACATCGTTGTCAATGTAATGGAATTTTATGCGACTGTCATACAAGTGAGAGGTTTAGCTAGCTATAAAACCAGGTTTAATCCACCATTTTCTACACAAGAAAATGCTTGTACCAAGTCACGAATATGACAGTTGTTTTTTATTCGTTTGATGTGTTTGAGCTTTTGATTTTGCCATTTGATTACGGACTTTCCGTTTTGTATTTTCCTCGGAGTTCGGTATTTTTGTTATTTTACTTTTTTCTTATCAATTATTTAGAAAATTGATGTGGAAAGACCTTTTAATTTGGTTTACAAAATTGTTTAACGCCAGACGTTAAGTTCACTACACTTAAAGCACTATGAAAAACCTTTCTTTAAACTTTCTTTAAACTTTACCTACTAAGAAAATTAGAACTTAAACATATGTTCGCATGTTTAATCTGATTGATTTCCCCTTACGTTACCTTACGCTACCTTACCGCCAATTGTTTTATTCGAACAAAAGCTTATATGTATTTATTCTTTAGTTATCAACCAGTGATGTATCATACTTAATCAAGCGTTTGAAAAAAAAAAAATCCAAAAAAATAAGTCAATACTGAGACTACGAAATATGAAAATTAATGCGATGATATTTAGTTCGCCTATTTTAGAAAACATTTCATTTTCCTTCAAAATGAAACAATTTGATCGCCTTGAGTTTGATCAAATGTATTAAATATATCAGTGATGTTGTAAAAATACTTTTCTGAATTGGTTCAATTCAAATAACACTTTAAAAAATTTGTGCGTATTGAGCCCTTTCCAGAATTAACCTTCATCTGGAACGCTCAAACCTTAGCACTTAAAAGTGCAGAATTGAATGTGTTTATAGCTTTAATTTCAAAAGGGGCATAAAAACATAACTGGTATTCATCTAAGGTCAGCTTTGCCTCCGGAAATTCAAACCTCAGTCTCTTTATAATTTCTTAGTTGATCAACGGAAAGCATGCCGAATCGTTTATTTTTAGCTCACCTGGCCCGAAGGGCCACGTGAGCTTTTCTCATCACTTTGCGTCCGTCGTCCGTCGCCGTCGTTGTCGTCGTCGTCGTCGTCCGGCGTCGTCTGTTAACTTTTACAAAAATCTTCTCCTCTGAAACTACTGGGTCAAATTTAACCAAACTTGGTCACAATCATCATTAGGGTATCTAGTTTAAAAAAGGATGACCCCGCCCGCGAACCAAGATGGCCGCCATGGCTAAAAATAGAACATAGAGGTAAAATGTAGATTTTGGCTTATATCTCTGAAACCAAAGCATTTAGAGCAAATCTGACATGGGATAGAATTGTTTATCAGGTCAAGATCTATCTGCCCTGAAATTTTCAGATGAATCTGACAACCCGTTGTTGGGTTGCTGCCCCTGAATTGGTAATTTTAAGGAAATTTTGCTGTTTTTGGTTATAATCTTGAATATTATTATAGATAGAGATAAACTGTAAACAGCAATAATGTTCAGCAGAGTAGGATCTACAATTAAGTCAACTTGACTAAAATGGTCAGTTGACCCCTTAAGGAGTTATTGCCCTTTATAATCAATTTTTAACAATTTTTCGTAAATTTTTGTAATCTTTTACAAAAATCTTCTGCTCTGAAACTACTAAGACAAATTTAACCAAACTTTTACACAATCATCATAAGGGTATATAGTTTTAAAAATGTGTCCGATGACCCCGCCCGCGAACCAAGATGGCCGACATGGCTAAAATAGAACATAGGGGTAAAATGTAGATTTTGGCTTATATCTCTGAAACCAAAGCATTTAGAGTAAATCTGACATAGGGTAAAACTGATAATCAGGTCAAGATCTATCTGCCCTGAAATTTCAGACCAATCAGGCAACACGTTGTTGGGTTGCTGCCCCTGAATTGGTAATTTTAGGAAAATTTTGCAGCGTTTGGTTATTATCTTGAATATTATTATAGATAGAGATAAACTGTAAACAGCAATAATGTACAGCAAAGTAAGATCTACAAATAAGTCAACATGACCAAAATTGTCAATTGACCCCTTAAGGAGTTATTGCCCTTTATAGTCAATTTTTTACAATTTTTTCATAAATTTTGTAAATTTTTGTAAATTTTTACAAAATATTTTCCACTGTAACTACTGGGCCAAGTTCATTATAGATAGAGATAATTGTAAGCAGCAAGAATGTTCAGTAAAGTAAGATCTACAAACACATCACCATCACCAAAACACAATTTTGTCATGAATCCATCTTTGTCCTTTGTTTAATATGCACATATACCAAGGTGAGCGACACAAGCTCTTTAGAGCCTCTAGTTAATCGAAGGATACGTTGTGGTTCGAATTTATTCGTCACAACGTAATCGTGTTGTATTCTAGTATGGCACTTTCGGTATGTAGAAATATCATACTGATCCTGTCTGTACATTGAAGTATTCAAAGTTTTACATGTTCTTAGTTTTATTTGGTGTTATTTGTTATCTCACATGTAGCTTCAAGATTTTTTCAATAAACATATAACTTATTCTCTACTTGTTGATCTAAACTATGTATATAATAGTATTCTACATAATAAAACCGAATCAAAATAAGTGCATTTGTGATCTACAACTGTATGAGTGAATGATAAGATGGCTTTGAACTCAACGGAAATTATTTTCAAATTTTTCATTCTTTGAATTTACATAGCTTGATTGCATGACAAAGAGGTACAGAATTTAATAAGTTTTTATAGTCAGAAACAGCAATAAAATGTAAGACGAGAAGTTTTCCTTTGCTACAGCTGTATAGTTAGTGCAACACTAGGCAATAGTGTAATGGTTGTTCTGTTTTGATTAACATCGCAGGATGCACACGTCTCTTTCTCTCTATTCTTCATTGTAAACGGTTGAAACATCCGACTAAACGCGTTATATTTTATCATTTTGATTGTTATAATTCGCATGTGTCTGTTGACGGGTTGTTGTCGTATTAACGTGTATGACATATGCATAACTAACAATGATAAAATATGTAATGAAAACCGATTAAGGTGATCAAAAGCAATCGTTGGTAAGTGCCAAAGAACTGTTGCATACGGTGATCAAAAGCTATAGAAAAGTAGAACAATAAGTAAAATAAGATTAATACCGAGCTCCAATGATAATTCAAAACGGAAATTCCAATACGATGGCAAATTGTTTCCAAAATGTTAAGAAGATATTAAATCCTTGAAACATCTGGTCCTGTTATTTTTCCGTTAAAGTTCTAAATGGCTTGTTCAGTAGGCTGGTGATTAATTAATTGTTTTAATTATGAAAATAATCGTTTTACGACATCAGCAAATGCTATGGTGTAGATAAATAGACACAAACATTCTTGTGTATTGGAACATTTATGTTAGTAACATTCTGTAATGTAAACCCCAACCCCTTTATTTTTTTTAAACAATTCATAGTTGTATAATTGGTTTCCATTTATTGTAGAGTTCACTTTGACAGATTATTTTAAAATTTGTACATTTTTCAATAAAACAAACTAATATTTTTATATTACATTTGATATTCATGTGTATGTTTTAAATTCATTATTTGACTCTGATTGTCTTCTTATAACAATAAAAAAAAATTTACTGTTTTAACAACAATTTTAGCTACGTTATTGGTCTTTTTTATGTTTTTTTTAAATAATGGGTTTTTAAAAAAGCCAATGTATTTTAACGAGGTGATAGACCGCCATTAATTAATTAGAATGGGTACTGCAATTGTTTCCAATTTTGACATTTGGCTGTTTACTCAGATATCGCTGTAATTGTAAATGTTGAATATGTCACAGACTATAGTTGAGAAATGTCAAATGGGAAATGATGTACTATTTCTATCGATATAACTATTAAGATACTTACTGTGTAAAGGTAAGTCAAAACTGGAGATGCAAAAGTAAACAAAAGCGATAACGATTTTATGCTGCAAGAATATTATTACCGAGAACCAAAAAGAAGGGAAAGTTACTATTTTCAATGCAGATTTTCTTTGTCTATTTCAAAACATTGTTAACAGAATTGCGTTAAGGTAGTTGATACAACAAGTTCATCATTAGACTTAATACCATAGTACACTAAAGTTGCTACCACTCTTAAAATAATAGGACAATGAAGGTCCAACATAAATGGAATCATCACAAGGCGAAATTGTTTATAAATCTAATTCAATAATGCAGTCTTTCACTAAAACAGAGTTGAACATAACTGTAACGTTAAACAGATTGAATGCAAGGTAAGCTATGGAGGATCCAACTTCTTTAAGGTTGAGTCACAGCCTTTGATTCAAATGGCCCTGACTTCCGTTCCCGATAGAACCAAATATAAGAATATTATATTTACCTTCATTGGTGACTTGGTGGAAAAGTTCCTCCTGTCCCTTCTCCTTCAAAAAGCATATATTCCCTGCAGTGTTATATTTCTGATGAAATCTATTGTTGAGTTCTCTTCTAACGATGTCTTAAAAGCTCCTTGCATTTCTTCCTGCACAGAATTTTGAATCATATTCCTCATAAGTGTTTTATGTAAACTTTCATTTTTCTATTTATGGCTTTCGTATCTAACATGGCAGCTAATTGTGCTCCTTTGTCGATTCACAATGGTAAAGACAATGGATCTTCATTCCTTATATCTATGGCGTTTGGTGATACTGCTGTTACATGTATATTTACGTACCAACACAAACAGAAAGCATATACTAAAACAATTGAGTTCAACTTCCAAGGGTACTGCATTATTCCAAATAAATATTTCTCTCTATGTGTTACTCTTCAATACACTCCCTCCACTTGTTATATTATATATTTCAACAAAAAAAAAAAAAAAAAAATAAGAAACAGAGAAAGTATCTTCACTAGATAATATCTTTACATTTTAAACAAATAAGAAAAATTTCTCTTCACAGTTAATGTTGCCTCATCAGGATAAACAAATCGTCGCGGTTTATTTTGTAAATATAGAAAGTTGATTGAATGTTTTTAATCGTGTAGTATTTTTGTTCTGATAAATGAATCTTTATGAAAGAGGTGAATTGTTTCTTCATATCGTAACTTGCAAAATCAAATTAAATTATGTTTAAAACTTAATGATTTATTTTTAACTTGTCAGCTGCTAATGCGTTGGAGGTCAAATATTTCATGTATATTCAGATTAAATTAAATATGAATTTTCAATTGTGTTTGTTCGGTATGTGGGTCGACCCGTATGAAAAGTTGTTAATTTTGTGTTTCGCACAGAAAGTAATTGATTTTTCGATGATATACTTTGCTAAGTAATTGCAACGTTATTTATTATTGCATGGCAAAACGTATTTTAATGCTTTCAATTGCATGTAATTAAAAATATACTCAACTACCTATTACTTTGAATATCTTTCCAATTTGTAGTAAATTGCAGGTTATTACAGTTATATGTTTAAATATGACAGGTCTGATTGAGGTAATGATACATTCTTTTGATAGAATTGGGTTCGTTAATTACATGTATGGTATTGTACTAAAACGCAGTCAGTTAAATACATTTAACTCCTAAGTAATTGCAACGTTATTCATAATTGCATGGCAAAACGTTTTTTAATGCTTCCAATTGCATGTAATTAAACATATATTAAGCTACCCATTAATTTAAATATCTTTTCCAGTTCTGATTAATTACAGGTAAGTATAGTGATAGGTTAAAATATGACAAGTCTGATTGATGTAATGATACAATATTTTGATAAATTCGGGTTCGTTAATTATCGTATTGTACTGACACGCAGTCAGTCAGACACATTTGACGGTCTTTAAAAGAAATATAGAGTATATAAATATAATATCATGCTCTTAATTGGCAAAGTCGAGCAAAGTTATGATGGTGTTTGGTTTCTCTCTTCTGTCACCTTTTGTTTTAAGCTCTGAAATATTGTTTTACTTGTTGTTTGTTTTCATAGAAATTGGTGTCTGCTTTATTTTTTACTTATTCGTTTCTTGATGAAATTTTATCATTTATTTGTACTTATTAAAGAATGTCAAAATAAACAACTTAACCGTGAACATGTATGGTTTAGTAAACAGGGACACAACGTACTTGTCAAAGAGACAGTTACACAGAAAACAAAGCAAATAAATAATAGAGTATATAATTATAACATAAACATGATAAATATAACACACTAAGTTATATCTAAAACCAACCATTGACGAGGTACAACGAATTTGGAAATGTCATGAACAAGACAAATTAGCCTTAACATCGCAACACGCAACCTTTGTATCATGATCTGTGGAATAACAAATAAAAGAGACATAAAAACTGCAATACTACAATCAAATTTGATGTGAAGTTGACTTTTTTCTTTAAAAAATTAGTTTCGATTTTTTGCATTGATTGACTATTTGTAGTAAGAAAACATTTAACGTTGAAGCATTTCACCAGAAGAAATTGATTCGGGACTGCTTTGTCTATATACATATTCGGTCTTTTTTATTGTAACAACATCTATCATTCAAATTCAGATTCCGGTTTTAAATTGTCCGTAAGTGAATAATATAAATTAGTTTTCATTGATAGGAATTTCCCTAATTTACGGTAATAAAACAAAAAGGTATGTTTTAGCATTGAATGGAAGGCTGATAATAATTCAGTTTGAAAGTAAGCATTTAGTTAATTGTTTTGAACATGTTGAATAAACAATTCGAATACGCATGTACCATATCAATAATTATAGGGTTAGCATTCTTAAAGGCTAAAAAAATTTGTTCGATAAAGGAAAAAGTATAATTCTATCAAATTACGCATAAGGGGTACTCACTTTCCAACCCATTATAATTACCGACACAATGAGTAAGAAAGTGGTTAATGCGTATTTTATTGAATTTGGCTTTTTTCCATGTTTCGGACTTTTACTTTATATTTGAATTAGTATTATTTGGGTCTCAAATCAAAAGAAAAGAAATCCAGAATCTGCTTAAATTTTGGTAAATGGAAAAAAGAAAAATGGGTGTTATGGGGCAAAATATTTTAGCCTGTATCGTAGGAAAAAAACAAGGAGTCCGGACAAATTCCTAAACCTGACCTAAGTACATCCTTAAAATCTAACTTCAAAAGTCAAGTCATCTACATACTACTAGTAATTATCAGTTCTAATATCAAATAATATTGATTATAATAAATAGTTCTAAAATTTTCATGACTTTGACTAAAGCTTTACAGCTGATTCAAGCTTTTCACTTTAACTAAATGGACACACAATATCGGAAGGAAACATCTTTAAACCCCAGTGTTTGAACAGTAGTTTATATCTAACATGTCTAACTCTATAATTGACAAACACTGTTTGACATTTTTTGCATTTGTCGTTATTGGTCAAATACGATAAAAAAAATATTCAAATACCAAGTGTGATTCTTTAATGTTTCTTATAGAAATGGCGTTGTCAGTTTATTTTCGACTTATGAGTTTGAATGTCCCTCTGGTATCTTTTGCCTCTCTATTATAGAAACTAAGATCACTTTTTGATGCGGTCTGTCTTTTTGTTAGTTGGTTTTCTGTTTTGTATTGATCTGACGAGTTAAGCCATTTTCAACTGATTTTTATAGTTTGTTCTTATGTTGTGCTGTGACACCACTGTCCCAGGTTAGGGGGATGGTTGAGCGCTTACAAACATGTTTAACTCCGCCACATTCTTTATGTGCCTGTCCCAAGTCAGGATCCTGTAGTTTAGAGGTTATCGTTTGTTCATGTCGGTCATATTTGTTTTTCGTATAAATTGGTATTTTTGTGTAAAGACATTAAATGTCAGAGCAAAATTGTAACCAACATAGCCTCTTTTGATGCATTTCACATTTTTCAAGCAATGACGTGACGACAGGTAAACTTAATCAGGTCATATTTCGGAAACTTTGAGAATTTCATTTCTCTTTAATATACGTACCTAGCCAGTATTCTCCATCAACATTTCCAAATCCATTCTCGTAATCTGTCCAAGTTTTCTGGAAATTAACAGATCCATCTAATCTTCTCTGGATTATCTAGAAAAAATTCCAGTACAAAATATAAGTAACTCATTTGAGCAAATCTAAGCTAATACATTTTGATTTCAATGGTTATTTTTCAGTTAAAAATGTTTAAAAATAGTAGAAATGTCTGAATATCACTTTCAATTTATCAATTTTTGCATTGGCTGCATTCCTTTTTGTCCAGTAAAATATCAGTCTACAATTGGTTAAACAAACAACTTTGTTTTAAGTGAGTAATGACAGATTAATTCGGTAATTGACAAATGAATTATTGAATAAAACGAGTTTATAAAGACATTTAAATTTATTGAGTGATTGACTGATTAATGTTCTTGGACACTTTCACTACTATTATACTATTTTGTGTAGGTCCAGAGTGCCTGGAGAGAATCACCGACATCGCTTGGAAAACTAACAATCAGATACGTTAATATAAATGATGATGATGGATGGTAGTAAACGTCCAGCGGCAAATTGATATGCATATTCAGGACGAGAACATGTTAATGTAATATGAATATTAACCCTGCTTTGTACTAGCCCGACACGCTGAGCCGGGTTTTTAACGTGCTAGTTCACAAGGTTACAGTCCACAGGAAGACACATCACCTTAACCGAACACATTATTCTGACTCCGAGCCGACCAGTCTTTGTTCTTACTCCTTAATGCGACGTGCTTAGCGGAGAAGCAGCAAATACAAATTTCATAAAGACCGCTCTCGACTAAACGTTTGGAATTGCACACACATAAACTGTTCAAGAGCAATTATCTGATGTCGTTTAATGAAATGGTATATTGTATTGAATAGTCGAATTATAGATGAGGCGGAATATACCAATGGTATCCAATTACTGGATAATAATAAACTGTTTACAAAATGGTTATCCAAAACTCACAACAACATATACACAAAAGGATAAAACGTCGAAACGATAAAACAAAATAGCATTAAGAAATCATATGAAAGAGGCATACATTTTTCTTCTTCTAATTATTGATACCTTTTTTTTCATGAAACAATCGGTTTTAAATTAATAACATTAAACATTTGTGATGTATTAAGAAAAATTATAATGTGCCTCATTAGCTCAGAATAGAAAACCGTAAAAATGCACATACGATATTGTATATCATATGTTTTTTTCGTTCATACTTTTGTAAATAAATCAGGCCGTTAGTTTATCGTTTGATTTGTTTAACATTAATAATTGCGGAACCTTCTAAAGTTGACTATGCAGAATGGACTTTGCTCGTTGTTGATGGACGTACGGTGACCTAGATTTGTTAACTTTTGTGGTATTTGGTCTCTTACGGAGAGTTGTCTCATTGGCAATCAAACCACATCTTCTTATTTTCATATTGTATAATTCATTATATGTAATGAGCTGTTGTCTAACAGATGACAAAAACATATGATTTTCTCTCTTACTAACATTAATTAGAGTGATGGAAAAAAAACGTGGAACATATTTGTTTTGTTATGTATAAGATTACCGCATTTTTTTACAGTTATTACGTTTCCTGACTTTTATATATACCGCATGTTACAGTTTAGAAGAATGACTTCGAAAAGAGCAGATAAGAAAGTCTCAAGTAGTATACGGTTAATTTATCATCCGAGAGTTGTAAGTTTATTATTCATTCTAGTATAGTTAGATATTTAATTAATGAGAGAAAAAATTACCAATGTAAACACAGATTAACATACCTTTCATTGATCTTACGTAATTTTGTACATGGATAACCTTTAGGGATATGTATACTCAATGTAACAATACGTTTGCAATGAACGTTATCTAATTTATATGTTCTATAAACAACATCATCGTTATAAATGGGATTAGGTGCTGAAAGTACAATGCTCTTCGGCATAAACCATTGCAATGTGCGGTTAATTTCCATGTTGATATTTAGTCACTATTACTTTGAATCCGATTGACAGTTTAAACTTTTCGATTTTTTTTTTTACAACACTTCAATACTATCTCATCAAACGAAAATTATTTTATTAATGAAAAGGTCCTTTGAAATACAACTCATACAAAGCCTTCGCCGGTAATAAAAAGGTAAATATATGAAACAAACTTAACAGCCGCCTGTAATTAAAGAATTACGACAGTAACATTTATCATTGTAAACATCTATACGTTTCAGAATAATGATACACATTAAGTTGTAGGTATTTCAATTAGAACTAATTAAACCCATTAATAGCGGACTTGCTCAAGTATTGTTGTGAATCACAGTGTATGGTCAAACTCAGTATTACAATATAAACACCAGTAATTGTCGTTTTCACATAAATAGCTTTTTGATTTAAATCAAAACAGTTTATACAGATGTGTACTTTACATCCTAAATTGCATGTAATAACTGATAAAAATGAGGTTGAAGGTTAATAAATGACTGGGAGTTGTTAGCATGTCTAGTTCCTTGGTGTGTTCATATCTTTTTTTTTTTGCATGCAGTTTTTTTTATATATATATATATTTCATTTGAAGAAAGAAGAAAAACGAATACGGTCTCATTGGTATTGGAAACGAAAACAAACAATAGAAATTTCAAAAAATATCTTTTTCAAGTTTGTGTATTTCTGGTGTTCATCATTTGGACCACATTATGTTGGAAGTACTTTTTGTTTTCTTTTTTTATTGATATGATTTATGTTCCATCTACATATTTATCCACGACAGTCTTGACTGTGTTCCTATATAGAGTGTGTAGGAAATAAAAAAGGGTCTGATGGAACTCCTTTGTATAATCGTTTATTTGTAGCTGTTAAAATTCATCATTGGGCATTTGTGTTCATTCGTTTTATGAAGATCAAGTAAAAAGTCTAGATGTTCAGACACGGTCTTTTTAAATATCATTATCAAACTCACAGTCCATCCTCCGCCATCTGTAGTCATATCACAGTAAACTTTGACCACAGATTTGACTGTACGTATCGTGTAAACATCAGATTTGGATACATCATGGCGCAGTTCAGTACAATCCTTCTTTAACGCACATACTCCCGAAGCTATGATATCAATACGAAACATCGTTATGTTGACAATTTAACATGAATGTACTTAGATATTTATGGGTCTTTATTATAGTTATTATCCTGAGACATAAGCGTGGAACAGCAATTTTGTATTAACTTATTTAATAAAATCTGTTTAATGTCTCATTCCCTGGATGTACTAAATAAGTATGATTTTTTTTCTTCAATTAGACAAATATAGATGATTTTTAAATTACCTTAAATTTTCGACAATTTGTTTTTATTCCTAAATGCAGTTACACATTACACGTTTTATAATCATGATAATGTAAGAAGAAGTATATTTCGTATCACATTGAACGGTGCGTGAAATTAAATAACTCGAGTCGATATCAAGCGATATCTAATTCACACTAGTTATTGTTTCCAATAGATGTAGTAAAATTAAACGAAATTTAAAAAAAACATTCAATTGTTCTTAACTTGCCTCTTACGTCCCGTGTCAGCATTCTAAGTATTTCGGAAACTTGCTTTTCGCCACCAGATTCTGAAAAATTTAATTTGTTTTCTATTTTTCTTATATACATTCATGATTGTAACACCAACTTATACATGTTATAATAGTACGTTATTATTTGATATCGACCCGAAATGTCTTCTTCCTACAAAGTTTGAAAATGTGAAAATCCAAACGATAACACATTAACCGACCCTTTAAAACCAATTTTAACATTTATGAACATCCTTTCTTTCAATTTCTATGCAATTTGAAACAACACTTTTAAAAGATAAAAAAAATCAAAACAGCGTCTTCATATATACTAAATCAAAAGTCATTTGTCCCTTTCAAATAAGATGGAAATCCTGACCTTGTCTTAGCCACTTTAAAGACATTGTATTCTCAAAGTCCAGATGACTTGACAAAAAGAGTACTGAATTTTATCTTATTCGTGTTTTTTTTAATAAATAGTAATTGAATTTATCTAAATAATCTACACAATGAATATACTGTAGATATACATCGTTTTGATCAATCAGGATGTGTATTCGCACACAATCGTTTGGAATAGAGCGTAGAAAGTTGGTATTTAAAAAAATATTCATTTTTGAATAACAATGATTAAAATTACCAAATTTACCAAAATGAATGCACATACGTTGCAACTGCAAATTGGCTGAAACAAGCTACATGATACATATCAGCGTGTCGCAAAGCATCATCGATATCAATATTTAATAAATACTGACTATACAATGTTTACATTAAGAATATACTTGAACCAAATACAATCAACAATCTTATACTATCACTAGGAAATTCATTAGGTGGCTTCGGTAATATTGAATTAAACTTGAATACATTTTCAATAAGTAATTTTTAATGTATGCCTACTTTAGTTGTGATGTTGAATGATCAATCATGTGATAAAATTGAGAATGGAAATGGGGAATTTGTCAAAGAGACAACTACCCGACCTAGAGTAGACAACAGCCGAAGTCCACCAATGGGTCTTCAATGCAGCGAGAAACTCCCGCACCCGGAGGCGTCCTTCAGCTGGCCCCTAAACAAATATGTATACTAGTTCAGTGATAATGGACGTCATACTAAACTCCAAATTATACACAAGAAACTAAAATTAAAAATGATACAAGACTAACAAAGGCCAGAGGCTCCTGACTTGGGACAGGCGCAAACATGCGGCGGGGTTAAACATGTTTTTGAGATCTCAACCCTTATTTTCATGACTATTTTTCGGAGAACGAAAGACGTGAACGTACGCACCCTAGGGTAACCATACAACAATGTGCGGATCTCAAACTGTATAGAAATCTACAAAAGGTCGCAGCATAAAAAAATTGGAAACAATTTGACCCCCTGTCCCAATTTAATGATACGAGTAATTATTAAGTATATCTGACAAAATCATTTCATATTTGAAGATCTTTGTAATTATATACATTAATCCATGACCAGAATCGACAACAGTACTGCATCTGTTCTGTTTTGTTTGTTCGTCGCTTATCAGTTTATTTATTTAGTATATAATAAGGTGAGCAAACCTAATCGATATAATAGGTCAATGTATTTTATTTTGTGTTTAATTGTGTTAGTCCAAAACATTAAGACGTCGTCGCAGCATTTATTTAAAATAGCCTTTCAATACCGTCATTATCATGATAATTGTTAAGACTAGTATTGTGAAAATAATTGTATGAATTTCAAGATTATATATTCGTTACAAAAATACGCCACTGTTTGTGATGTCTTGTGCTATCTGTCGTTAATGGGAGATGTTCGTTGTTAATTTGTGGTTTACATTGTGTAACGACTATTTTATTATTTATTTGTGCGTTTCTTTGTGATGAGTGTTCTTGCGTTTGTTTGTACTGTATTTCGGTCACGTAGTGTTGTCATTTTAGCGATATTTTTTAACATTGCTATATAAGCGGGAGGTTTGGCTAGCCATAAAACCAGGTTCAACCCACCATTTTTTCTTTAAAGTACGAAGTCAGGAAAATGGCAGTTGTTATCAAATAGTTCGTTTCTATGTATGTTGGTTTTGTTTTTGTTGCACTTCAGTCCTTCTGTTGTTCCTTTGTTTTCCTCTTATAGTTCATGTGTTTCCCTCTGTTTTAGTTTGTAACCCGGATCCATTTATGACTTTTGAACAGCGGTATACTACTGTTGCCTTTATTTATCTCGTCTCACTATTTTTAATATATACCACCTACCAAGTATTTAGTGTGACGATAACATTTCACTTCTGTTCTCGAACAATGAACAACAAATTTATTTTTCTGTAAAAAATATTTCCGTACTCCATGTACACCTTACAACAAAATTATTATATTTACCTGTGTACGTTTATTTATTTAACGCCATTTTGTCCAAGGATTAAGTTGTCTTTCTGATATTGTATTACATCCTCCTTTTGATTAATATTGTATTTACATTGAATTATAGATCAAATTTATTCGGTCAGTGTACGTTTACTTGTTTTTGTGAATATGTCTATTGATTTATTTAAGCCATTTCTATTGATATTTTATAGTGTGTCTTTCTTTGTTGTGATGTTACATCAGTATTTCAGGTCAGGGCGAGGGTTGGCGCCTGTTAAAACATTTAAACCCGCTGCATTTGTTTGCACCTGTCCTAAGTCAGGAACCTATTGTTCATTTGTTGTCTGTTGTTGATGTGATTCACGTTTCTCGTTCTTTATATAGATTAGACCGTTGGTTTTCCTGTTGGAATGGTTTTGCACTAGTCTTTTTTGGCGCCCTTTATAGCTTGCTGTTCGGTGTGAGCTAAGGCTCCGTGTTGAAGGCCGCACTTTGACCTATAATGGTTTACTTTTTACAAATTGTGACTTGGATGAAGAGTTGTCTCATTGGCACTCATACCACATCTCCTTATATCAATGTGGCAATAATTGGGATCCAGCAGTCGAAACTATGTAAACATACATCACAATCATACAACACAACTGACTAAAACATTTAAACACACATACAAATAAATCTAACAAAGAACCTTTTTGTAGTTGAAAGCTAATTTGACAAATATAAAAAAAAAAAGGTTTTCGTAGATGATAGCCAATTGATAGTTAACCCCGAGAAAATATGTCGAGCTTACTCATATGATATTGGTTGTGCTTATTGATGATTATTACATCCTTGCACTTTGGTCTTTTGTTATATAATTGGTTATCATAACACATGTTTTAATTTTTTAGAATTATAACGAAATAAGATTACCTTTAAGAATCCACTTGATTTTGTCCTTTACCTGTTTATTCATTTCCACAATTTCCTTGTATTGTTCCACATCTTGAAAAAAAGAAGGAATTTAATCAAAAAGAAACATGTTTGGCAAACGATATCTGGTTTGAATATTAGTTTGGTGTACATTCCTGATCCAGTAACGTTGATGATACTTTAATGTTAACTTTAACTGTTGATTAAACATTTTTCTTCACTGAATAAATTGTTGAATCAAGCATGTAATCCTATACTTACTGCTGAGAATATTTTGTGTGTCCTTTTTAATATCTTCCACAGTTAAACTATGATTTGCAGGTAAACATTTTCTACAAATACAAAATATCTACATATATATTTTTAAGATAGTATTTTCAATTACCTATGATAATTTTATACAAGGAATCATAAAAACACAAGGATAAAAATGAGGCCTTTGTTTTTGTTTATGTGTAAACAATTCTATTATCGATTGAAAAAATGAATTCTATTATTCAAAGATATCTATTCAATGTACCTTTATGTAAAAAGAAAATTACAACTCTAATGTAAAGACAAAACAGTTAAAAAACGGGTCATTATCAATAAACTATTCTGGAAATTATTATAAATTTTAAGTACTTAGTTTAGTATTACACCTTTCTTTCTTATTTTCTTATATAGACATGACTGAGTTGAAGCCTTGGGTAATGTTAATATATTATGTTTAGAACAGTTCAAGTAAGACATGTAATATTTATAAACATTATATAAAGATACGACCGTGTAGCATTTTTCAAATATTTGTTTGTGATAAATCAAGACTTGGCTAGAGGTATAGGGGGAGGGTTGAGATCTCATAAACATGTTTAACCCCGCCGCATTTTTGCGCCTGTCCCAAGTCAGGAGCCTCTAGCCTTTGTTAGTCTTGTATTATTTTTAATTTTAGTTTCTTGTGTACAATTTGGAGTTTAATATGGCGTTCATTATCACTGAACTAGTATATATATTTGTTTAGGGGCCAGCTGAAGGACGCCTCCGGGTGCGGGAATGTCTCGCTGCATTGAAGAACTGTTGGTGACCTTCTGCTGTTGTCTGTTCTATGGTCGGGTTGTTGTCTCTTTGACACATTCCCCATTTCCATTCTCAATTTGATTCCATATCATAAACTTGTTACTTTTTGGCTCAGGTTTGTTTTCTTATCAGCCAGATTCAGTTTAAAAAATTGCAATATACCATGATAAAAAACACTGTCTCTACAATGTACATTATAAGCTTCAGCAGCAGTTATAATTTTCTGTATTACAATTTCTGTTCATTTTGTTTAATAAATATAATAGAATATAAATTAATGTCAGAGACAATGATGCACACATGATAACTTCATGTTCTTTATCTTACGTGTTATGTTTAAACTATGATAGAAACAAAGCAACTCGGTCAAATAAACCAAGAGGAATTATAAAACCATTTCTGTTTCCCATTTTTGTAAAATTTATCAAAATATGGGCTTCATTGAAAGCATACAGTTTTACTGTGCTATTTGATGTGTGCTTGTTTATTCCTCGATGAATAGAGGTACATGTATTGGGAAAGAGTTAGGATCTCACAAGAAATATTTAACCCCGCCGCATTTTTCCCGCCTGTTATATGTCAGAAACCTCTAACCTTTGTTACTTTTTTAGTGTTTTTTTTTTTTTGGTTCATATGTTTGTTTCGGAGTTTAGTGTGGCGTCCATTTTACTGAACTAGGATCAACTATTATTTAGGTGTCATCTGAATTCCGCCTCCGGGTGCTGATATCCCCGCTACATTGACGAACCAGTAATGGCCTCTGAGTGTTTTCTGCACTTTTTCTGTTGTCTCTATGACACGTTACACGTTTCCATTCTCTATTCTATATAACATACTAACTGTCTTAAGGTAGTTCGGGGGTTTAAATTTTCGCGCCTTCTGCGCAGAAAGTTGCGCATTCTCTTGTCGTAAACAAATATTTTTACGATAACCCGATAAATACAAAAAACATTGGTAAACAATTTTTTTTCAGCGGATGACTTACTTTGAATAATATTTTTTGCAATCATTCAATGAAACGAATGTGTTTAATTTATCTTTTTATAAGACGAAATGTAGCATGTTTACTTCCGGTGAAAGTGAAGAATGGTGAGTAGTCGAAAAAAATCTCAAAAAAAAGAGAAGATATGAAACAAGTGAACCGCTTATTAAGATGACTGACTTGATTCTCAGGAATAATACATATTGAGAATCATTTTGGTGTATTATTAAGCGGGTTCACAAATTAACATCACTGAAACTGGACTTGAAAGTGACGGAGCACCCTTTGAAAAAAATGGCCAAGGAGGTAATCTGGTTTTAAACATTTATAAAAGCGGAAAATCGAAAAAGTATTTCGCTATTATCAGTTCTTTTATACAATTTTGCAAAATTAAGATAAAAACACAGTTAATGTAATATTTTCTTGCAACTCAAGAGTTCAACCAATCCGTATACCTGGAGTTTGAACTTTAATTGGCAATTGGTTGCGCATGTATTGGTGGTGTTTAGTTATTAAAAAGAAGAGTTTGTCAACATGGAAAAATGAAACAAGAGAGCCACTAGGAAGACCAATTCCATTGACTTATTCGGTCTACAAAAATAATTTGATAAAGGTAAAACGTTGAAATACTTTTGTATCTTAACCATATAACACGAAATCAGCCTGACCTAGAAAATGTGCCATTTTACGATTCCACGTGGTTATCTATCTATTGAAATGTATTCCAATGTTTATAACGTATCATATAAACAATGGCAGTCTTCGAAGGTTAATTAGATAGCGTCTAGTCTAAAATAAGCACAAAACTCTGATTCAGAATAACTAGTCCATACATTGTTAATTGATTCTTTCGCACTTTTTGTAATTTGAACAAGCTTAATCCCTCTTAAAAAGTATTCGTTCGTAATTATTTATAAAATTGCAGCACATACATGAAGACAGAATGAAGCACAGAATAAAAAGAAGTACAATACATGTAAGATGTATAAAACCATTTTAAATAAGGTAATGCAGGGGTACAACACATAATAAATTTCATAAACCTACCTTGTAATTCGTACATAATATTGTCAACCCTTAAATCAGGTGCTTTTCGAACATTACTAACATCTACAAAAGAAAACGACAGGTTCCGTTACTGTGTCTTTTCTGTGAAATTGTCATTCTTTGTATCTTGTTCATACAACTACAAGAATGTTATGCATAAAGTTGTACTTTAACAAATATGTTGATACTATATTGTGTAATGTTTTGGCATTCATATCAAGGAGAATTTATACTAAACTAAAGGAAAAAAACACCTTGAAAAGTTCTTTAACTTCAGGTTCAGATATATATATATCCTGTCAATCAATACCCACATATCAGGATCATATTGAGATTAAGGATACTACCGAGACTAGAAGTTTTGCTTCATATCTTGATCTTTTTTTTCGATAAGGATAAGATTAAACTAGAATCTTTGACAAAAAATGTTAATTGGATATGTTTCTTACACAAAAACTACACAAAGTTATGAGGAAAAACGCATAAAATTTACACTACATAGTTTTAAGGTCATAATAAAAAATTGGTTGAGATAATGGTTATCTTATATAACTCATGAGCGACATGTGTTTGCAGTCCTATCTTCTTAGATACCAGAAAAGTCTTCTAATGTCAAGTTATAAATTCTGCCCTTTCCCCGATTCTGACATTTTGAATTAGTGTGGTTCGCATGGCGGTTGATGCACGCAAAGCAGAAGACGTTAACTTTATTAACATGAAACGAGTCCCACTGCAATATCCTAGGCATTGCTTGTGGTTGCGCAACTTGTATCATGTCTATTATCCGTAAGAACTTTCATCGATTGAAGGTAGTGAAAGACAGTCAATTATGCCATAAATCGTGACATCAACGATTTACAGCGAATATTAGTTTTACCTCACAGTTACAATGTATTATAATGCAATGTTAGTGGATTGCTGTTAAGCGGACGTTTAAGACAAATACTTTTATCGTAACAGTTTTGGTTGGTAAATTTTTATTTATTTCTTATATTTTGCTATTGTGATTTCACAGTAAGGGTCGACCATGTCTGAAAATGTCACAATGAAATGGCATGATTGCTTTCATAGAAACACGATTGTATACCAGTAAGCCAACACAAACATATTTATATTTTATTTTATTGTGAGGGATTTTTTCAATCTGTTGAAACAAAACTTGGAGTAAACAAACCTTAACAAGTTATCAAAATTGGAAAAAAACCCAGAAACGATCAATTATCAAAATGGTGTAAAGAATACAATGAAACAGTAGTAATATAGTTTAACACTTTTAAACATCATGAAATATTTGTTATAAATTTCAATATATTTCCTCTTATTTTGGAGTCCTCGGAGTCATATTATCAATTTTCTGTTTTCCATAAACGGAAATTTTTTAACAATGTATTATTTTTTTTTTTTTTATCAAATTGAATATTTATTTGATTTTTACGAAATCTGCTTTACTTGCATTTTCTGCTTTTAATAAACATACAATTGTGTGTGTACAACTATTTTAGAAATATTATTTAGAACGATTTTTGATAATGCTATTAGATCATCATTAATCAATCAGAAATTTGTCATCCGCTGTATCTCCTGAGAAACAACAATTTTCCAGTTTTGCCAGTTGATTTTCAACTCTCGAAGCATCGATGTTTAAAAGTTGAAAATTTAGCAGTTTAAAGTAAAAAAATGTCGCATGGTAATTATGCAGTGTTTCTATAAATATCACTGCCGTTTCACAGCCGTTTATATACTCATTTTTTAATGGTCAAACAATATTGAAAGTGAAATAAGTAAACAAAAACTTATGACGATTGGTTCTGTAATAACATTTATTGGAAGAATTAAACGAAAAACAGTGTACTATTGTTAATGCATATTGTGTTTATTGTAAACAGTTTACAGAGGAATGCTTACTAGCTAGATTTCAATTATCTCCGTCATAAGACCTCTCTGATAGTTGAATCACAATAATTTTACTCTGAAAAGATATAGGACAATTAAAGACGACCTTATTCTGAATGTTCAGAAAGATGAAATTGTTTAAACAAAATCCTATTCAATAAAACAGTCCTTATGGCGTTTTACTGTCACTGCTATAGTTTCAAATGGCCCCTGCTGTCTGTTCCAGAATAAAACAGATATAGAATATAAAGTTACCTTCATTCCTAACAGGATGTAATAGTTTCCCCTGTTCTCGTTCTTTTAAAACGTCATGTATTCTCTTCGCGGTTATATTTCTCAAAAAGTCTA